CGTAAAAAGCAGTAGTTACGACCAATTAATTACTTTTTTATTTTATTTTATATAAACTGTATTTCTCGTCTATGTTATAAAGCTATGAAAATCTAAACTATTGACTTGAATATGAGTTAATTAACATTATTTCGTTTTGTTTTTATTAATGATTTACAATAAAGTGACAAGAAATCTGAATGTTCAAATTATTTAATTCACAATCACTACAAATGGAACTTTAGAAGAAAATGTCTAAATATTCTCGTTATTATTGTCTATGGTATCGATATAAAATGGCGCCATCTAATTAAAACGTCTATCGTTTTCAAAACTTGCTTTTGACATAATAGAAATACGCTCATTTTACCATCGTCCTTTCAATATTCAATATATGTATAATTATTAAATGAATTTAACTGTTTAGTGATTAGTAGAAACATACATTTCATATTGGTCTTTAGAGATATAAATTAAAAAATATTATTTTTTTTTACACTTTTTGGCCAATTTTCTATAGAAAAGTACACACATATTTGAAATGAGCATATTTTAACTGTGGCTTATGTAAAAACATCAATAATGAAATTGTGGTTATATAATATTAAGAAAGCTTATATTTAATATTATATAGCATAAGTATATTATAATCTCAAACTATAGAATTATACACTCGTAGGTAGAGTCCGCCAAAAGAAATGGCAAAGTCGAAATTAGTAGCGTGGTTTGCTGTTTATGCTACTAATCTCAATTTTGCCATACAGATCATTTACTTTCCTTAAGGAATAATGGAAATTTTATATACGTATTTTTATTTATTAACATTTATTTATTTATCACTCAGTATGCAAATTGTCATTTATCTTATTGTATTTTAAAACATTATTGTTTGGCTTCATATTTAGTTCAATGACTACTACCTTTATTATACCTTAGTCTGAGACTTTAATAAAGATAGGTAACGTAACTATGACACTTCTATGAACAGATAGATAGAAAACACGTTTATACTATATTAATATAGGTAGTTATATATAATGTATATTATGCATACTATATATAAGAGTTAAGATAAGACACGCATATTTACAAGTTTTTACGTCAAACTGTATGTCACGTAAAATATTTATAGAATTAATTAATATATAATAAAAATAATGTATACAAAATATGGGAAAAGTATTTAAAAATAGTCAATTGAATTAGTTAGGACAAAAGAAATATATATTGAAAACTTATGGCATTGTCGACTGCCGCCATTTTATTATTTGAATACGAACGCTTATATAAACTACATAATTATTATACTTTTATTAATTATCTTAATTATATCATGGCAAGATTTACCTCCAAATATCTCGGTCACGTGACGCTTGGGAACACCATTCCATATATGACAAATTCATCTTGAACCATAAAAAGTTACAAAACAAAGTGTGTGTGTGTACTTATGTACACACATAAGAAGTTATACTTCTTTGGCGTAACAGAACAAAAATAGCTAAATATTTCATCCCGTAGGTCGCAACTCTCTGTTTGTAAAAGGAATGCAGCTAACTTCATTATGTCGCTTTTTGACTGTTGATGTGCGCGCGCATCGTAAAAATACTCTTATATTTTTTTTCCAAACGTGCCAAAAGAAGTATAACTTCAAAAAGTTCGAAAAATAAATGGCGGCGCATGTCTAATGCCAGCTTTAACTGAAAATCATTTGAAAATGTTCTCCTTATGTGGAATATTTCCATATAACCGAGTACAATTCGGTCTGCAATTTGCGTTGTTATTATGCATTTTATTTCAACTATATATTAAATATAGATAACTAATAATGAGGTAATAAAATAATGGACATCTCCCGAAAGTAAACTCGAAATAAATTTAAAATGAAAAACTAAACTTCATGTAATGTACAAAATAAAAGTAGAAAAATAATTCAGTATCTAATACAATTGGTATACAAAAAAAATATTTTAAGGAACTTAGTGGAACTAAAACAGGAAGTTCTCAATGAACTCCATGTTATTTAAAATTTGGAAAATAATCCTATCACATATAAAAAAAATCATAATGACATACGTAGTGTATCTAACTAGGGCTTAAAGAGTTTTATTAAATACATTTTATATAGCCGTGTTAAATTCTAAGCCATCGATCAAAAAACGACTGGAAACACAATCAGCGACAAAAAATGTCCTCACCGAATGAGCGCTCATTTGAACATTTAAGCGCGCATTATATATTTTTTTAAACAAAACGTTTTGAATGCTTTACAGCAATTATGGTCACGGGAGTCTCTCCGTAAGCATTTGAAACGTCGGCAACCAAAAATCAAAATAAATTCGCGAAAAAATCCGAAAAGATAGTTTTATTTAAAATGTCAAATATTTGCGTAAATCTACGTGTTTTTTTTTGTGAAAATAACTTTAAGCATGGCATTTAAGGTTCAGTTTACATTGTTGTATATATATTTTAACTAGAATAATTACCTAAACACAATTATTGACAGATTTAAGAGAACTTTTGCATGAGATTGTGTATCTAGTACTTTATTGATCAACGTTCTAGACCCACTTTTAATTACGAGACATTTAAGGGCTATTGCAGCACGTTATTATGAACGTATCATGAACGCGCGGCGTCTGCGCATAAAAAAAACGCTCATTAGTACTTATAAAAAGCGCTCATCTAATTATTAATCCATGCTAATATTATTAATGTCAAAGTTTGTAGGATGGATGGATGTTTGTTACTCTTTGAGACCAGAACGGCTGAACGGATCTGGATGAAATTTGGCACAGAGATAGATTATAATCTGAACTTTGAGAAAAGCATATAGGTTACTTTATATCCCAAAAAAATTGACAGTTCCCGTGGTTTGTTTTTGTGTTTATCAAATATAGTGCGTATGGCCTATAGAGCCTCACACTGAAAGATACGAACACCTGTAAGATTTTAAACCAATTAAATTGAATCCGTTACCTTAGTAGAGGTAAAACATTCGGTTTCTTGCACCTTTTATATTTAATAAATATCGTTTTTTTTGTATTTATAAGCAAAATAACGAGACACATTAAATAAAAGTGTCCTTTCAAATTTCGCGGATTTATTTAATCATAATAATCCGAAAAGATAATTTTAGTTAAAATGTCAAATATTCGCGTAAATCTAAGAAAGTATTGAGATGAGACACGACAAATAAATAAGTTAGCAAGGGATAGTTAAATTAAATGAATAAAATCAAATTCATTAAATTGCATGGAAACGTATACCATAAGACTTCCTCATACAACGAATATCAAAATGAAATAGCACATCACAATCACACGTGTTATACTGTACTATTATTTTATAATTATTATAAAAATGTCTACATTGTAAGCTATTTACATTGTTTTTCTAAAAATCCGCAGTATTATCCAAATACGATGATTCAAAATGGCGCCAATAGTTCAAAAGTTCTGAATCAGAAACCACCGCCATTTTGGATCAAACTATTTGCATATTAACCTGTAACTTATAGCGTGATCACCATCGATCAAAAAAGTACTAGATACACAATCGGTGACATAAAATGTCCTCTCCGAATGAGCGCTCATTTGAACATTTGAGCGCGCTTTTAATTTATTTATATTTTTTTGTAAAAACAACTTTAAGCATTGCATTTATGGTTCAATTTACATTGTTATATATTTATTTGAAGTAGAATAATTACATAAACATAATTGGTGACAGTTTTAAGAGAACTTTTGCATGGGATTGTGTATCTAGTACTTGTTTGATCGATGTTGATCACACTTTTTACTTTTATAAAATCACTAATTTGGACAAACCGGGACGCTATATTTTAAAATCGAATATGCTATATCGATTAATCGATTTGACATTAGATTAATAATGTGTAATTCGAATAATTCGAATAATAATAATACATATGAGATACTGAACATTGTACTTTATTGTAGATAAAATATGATGTTCTATGGTAAGATAAACTTATAACGATGTCTATGAAAGCTCTTATTTGTTTAGGAGTGTTTTATTTCTTACTAAAATATTTAAAGTCAACTCGTTAAGGAGATTTATATGAAAAATATAAAAAAAAACTGCACTTTATTTAATGTAATAGTTTTTTTTAATTTAAAATTAAAAACAAAATATTAAGACTAATAAATTAAATAATCTGACTCACAAAACTTTTTGTTTAAGTCAAATGGTTCAGAATAATACATATTATATAAGAAACAGACGCATACTATATTATGTTGACTCGGATAACCAGCTATCATCATACCAAATATCATCAAAATCTGTCCAGTGGGTTTCTCTCCCAGACAGTCAGATAGACAGATAAAGATTCTAAACCTATACATTTGGCTTCTGTATCGGTAACAATAACTATTTTAATAAGATTTTCAAAAAAACTATTACAGATTCGATTCAGTTTGAATTTTATTGTACAAATGTATTATCACTTAACGAGTTGATTTTTAATATTCAAAAGTGATATTAAACTAAAACGTGACTATCTAAAGCTTAAATCATATACTTGTATATAAATAAAAGACATACAATTAAGTAATTTAATTTTACAACAATTTCAACATTCCCATAATTTTCAATGACATACATATTATGAATTATATGAATGTCGTACGCCGCCATTTTGATTACGTCATTAGTTATACATTAAATTAATTATCTTTATTATAAGAAAATAATTATAAGAATTGAATTTTCGTTTTAACACGTGACAGATAATAAATATCGTTCAATGTATGAAATACTATAATACGTAATTTAGAGATCCTTTCAATTTACATAATATTAAAATTAACAGCTAAAATTAAATAAAATCAATTTTTTATTAGTCAAGTGAGATCAAAAGCCGAGATATACAATTCTCCTGTATAGCTAGTGACGTAACCACGATAGCAAAAAGGCTAGCTATATTGATATCGACTCTCGATAATAGCTAGTGACGTAACCACGATAGCGAATGCTATATATATCAATATCGGTTAATAATCTAGAGCCCACTCGTTCTCTTGCAGGAACGCGTCAACCACTTCCTTCATAGTGAAGTTTGGTATGAGCTGATCTGCTGTTAACTTGACGCGGGTTACCGGATCGAAGTGACCTACCCGCTGTAAATTAAATAAATAAAACTATATATACATACATTGTTATGTGTAAACTTTTTTTGATAATACACTGCCAATTAAATTATATAATTTACGACCCACACAAAGCCTTAAAAACACCTTTCTTGTATGAAAGGCACCCTACTTTTTGCTTTCTTGTTATTTTATTTTGAGAATCAGCTATATAATATATACTTAATATTATAAAGAGGTAAAGTTTGTGAGTTTGTGACGTTGTGAGGGGGTAATCTCTGGATCTACTGAACTGATTTAGATGAAATTTGATAAGAAAATTTTTTTCTTTTTATCCCGGAAATCAGCACTTAAGGGGGTGCAAATGGGGATGAAAATTTGTATCGGGAATCAAGCTAGGGACGAACCCGAGCAAAGCGAGGGTGAGTCGCTAGTGTTACAATAAAGGGGTATAAATTAAAAAAAATGTTTACAAGTTACTAACAATTTAAAGTAAAACTAATAAAGTTTATAAGAACAAATTGTATAATTTGAATGGCAGTGTATAATCAAATCTATAAGATATCTTAAAAGTAAGGAAATTTGATTAGGAATAGTTTTTTTTTATTTACTTACTAAATAATAACTTTCTAATGACCGCTTTCGAAATATTATGTTATGTTCAGTGAGTGGACATAACATTCTTGTTTCTGCCACTCGTAGTTTACGGGCATTGAAAGTGCGGAAAACTTACAATAATAAAAACCTTTTGACTTACACAGATTATTATTTATCATTAAATTACATTAAAAATATTCAGGAAAAAATGTTTTTTTTTCGGACAAAAAAATCGACATTTTATACAAATTCTTCTACTCAAGAAAAACAAACAATGTTCATTTCAAAGCCATTTCTATAGTAAAAAAAAGATTATTTACCTCAAGATGCTCTTCAATGTCTTTCTTCTCGTACGTAATACCGCTCGGCGTGATCACCGGCTCGTTCAATATCTCGAAGCTAATCTTGCCGCATAAATAGTCTGGTACGTCACGTTTCTGTTTAATATAAACAAAAATAACATAACTATAAAGAGAAGAATAACGGTCAAGTGCGAGTTGGACTAGAATATAGTTGAAACCTTCGGTGCAAGTTCAACCCGCACTTGGACAGTCGTTATATGTAAGTTTCTATTTAAATAATACTTTCTTATATTTAAGCGAACATTTGACATTTTAAATAAAACTATCTTACGGATTTTATCGCGGGTTTATTATGATTTTTGGTTTCCGACGTTACGAATGCTTTACAGCAATCATGGTCACAGGAGGGAGTAAGGTATTGGATGTCTCAAAGGTATTATATAGTTGTTACAGACAACCTACGCACAAATAACAAAATGAATTCAAAAAATTGAAAATCGGCAGCAAAGTAGCTTACAATATTTTTTAATTTTAAATATTTTTAAAATTTCAATTAGTTTTGTAATTGTATATGGAATGTTATTTATTTAATTTTAGCAGTTATTATTATAATTATAACAATTTTTGAAGAAAAAAAATTAATTAGTAATCTATATTTAGTGTTGCCATTACACATTGAAACGTCGGGAACCAAAAATCAAAATAAATCCGCGAAAAAATCCGTACAGATAGTTTTATTTTTATTTAAATTAAAATATTTATATTAGTAGGTACATATGCACTATAACACAATAAACTTGAAATTTGACATCATTATTATATTCTTAATTATATAAGGCCTATAATATACGACCCACACAAAACAAGGAATTAAAAATCACGTTTTTTGTGGACGTGACTAAAAACGCCCACAATACTTTACTTTTGGCTTTACGACGAAGTGAGTATAAGGAATAAGCATGTGATTCAAATAAAGGTGAAATATTTTTTTTATAATCTTTATTGCTTTTGAATTAATTAAGGCTATATTAATATTTTTAATGTAATTTATTTTTTATTAGGAAAATAATTATTAAAAAGTGCAAATATAGGTGGGAAATTCAAAGTAGTTGAAACTCACGCCATTGATTAGACCGAATATGATGTCAAAGTATTATCATAACAGAGCGATTAACTATTTTGACGCTACAAATTGAGTCGTCTTTTTTTGTGTCTATCAACACCGTGAGCTGACGCCAAGCGCTCGATGGCGGGCGTTTAAAGTATCTGTATCGGTATGATATTTATAATTGTTTTTATACTAAATTTTAGTTTTTTTGGAGCTAGATATTTCTTTTACAGTAAGCTATAACGATGTTAGCTATTGTATAAAAATAAAAGAAAATTATGCATATTCCCTATTAGAAAAAAAAGTATAAGTTTAATTATTAAAAAAAGCGAAAGTTTGTCTTTGTTATAGGTCTACACTTTAATAGCTGGACAGATGAAAATCAGTACACAGATAGCCTATTACCTGGAGTAAAACACAAGTTACTATTACGCATCTAGGAACGCTAAATATATTTTGCTGACAACCTTTCATTTAACCCCTCAAATTTAAATACAGCTCTCACCTGATCGCTAGTTAATACACCTTATTAAATTACGCTCACGCGCCCACAACCTATTAAGTAAAATTTACTTTTCTATTGGAGTAGGAGGTGCTTTATTCTTATTGTGTGAAATAAATGAATGTACGGGATATAAATTATATAAAGAACTTTAATAAAATGGTTATTTTGTGTGTAGTGTAACTACTTCGATGGTATAGTGGCTAGCATGTATGGTAACGCATCCGGAGTTCGAGTCCCGGTCGGACCAAATTAGTTGTCGAGTCTTTCTATTAAGAAAATTTCAGTAACAGCTCGGAATTGGGAAGTTTTTGTATTGGGTAGGCTATCAGGTCTACAAGTATGAAATGCGGATTTCTTTTTCTAAAACAGCATGATAATTTTGAAATATTTATAAAAAGAGCTTTATTCAAAGTATGTTCCATCGCTTGTTAAACATTTTTCCCATCTTTTGGGCAATTTGTGAATACCACGCCAGTAAAAATCTTCCTCTTTTTCTGCGAGCCATTCATCGAGCCATTTTTTCACATCTTCGTACGAACCAAAGCGCTGCTCAGCAAGTGAGTGACCCATCGATGCAAACAAGTGGTAATCAGTTGGAGCCAAGTCTGGTGAGTAAGCCACATGGGGTAGAACTTCCTAGTTGAGGGCTTCCGCCGTTTCGCGAACCGGTTTTGCCGTATGTGATGGGGCATTGTCATGAAGAAAAATGACTTTGTGTTGCCTATTTCTGTATTCTGGCCTTTTTTCAAGCAGCAAACGGTTCCAATTGGTCAATTTTTGTTGATAACGTTTGGCATTAACCGTTTCCCCGGGTTTTAACAGCTCATAATAAACCACGCCTCTCTGGTCCCACCAAACACAGAGCATCAACTTTCTGCCAAAGCGATTCGGTCTTAAGGTCGATGTGGATGGTGCGCCTGGATCTACCTATGACTTTTTGCGCTTTGCATTCTCAAAATAAAGCCATTTTTCATCTCCTGTAAGTATGTGATGCAAAAACGACTTTCTTTTGTACCGAACAAGCAAAATTTCACATGTGTTTTTACGCTTTTCCATTTGCCTATCAGTCAACTCATGTGGTACCCATCTACCAGTCTTCTGAGTCTTTCCCGTCTCTCGTAGCCGATTGAAAACAGCTTGTTGACTAACGCCCAATTAATTGGCGAGTTGATTTTGTGTTTACGAATCATCTTCGTCCAACAATGCTTGCAATTCCATATCTCCATATTTTTTGATGGGTTTCCATGTTCCTTGTCTGCAACATCGAAGTCACCACTTTTGAAACGCCGAAACCAACGTTCACACGTATCTTGCGATACAGCATGTTCACTATAAGCTTCTCGAAGTAATCGGTATGATTCAGCAGCAGTTTTATTCAAATGATAACAAAAAATTAATGCTGTCCGCAAATGCCCTTTGTTCGGTATAAATTTCGACATATTGAAGACAATAACACAACACTTTACACACACTTTTTCAATTTATTAGTCAAGCGCATGTGACCCTTGTTTATAACACAACAAAATGACGCAGTATCAAATCTTCATAGAACAAACTTCATTGAGGCACCGTCACTTTTCTGAAATCCGCATTTCATACTTGTACTGGTATGTATACTAGAAAGAATAAAAGGAAAAACTCATCACCCATGTCAAACCCTAAAAAGTTAAATGAACTACAGATGATTTACCTAGCCGTACTTACTACCGCTCTTATAATTTTATGTAATAATGACTTAATTTTTTAATAAAAAGGTATACTGATTTTAAAAATGATCTTTTTTTTAAATCGGTTAAAAAACTATAAATATACAAATTTATGAATGAAAGCTACTATATTCTAGAATACGATAATTTATATAATATGTCACACTATGTAATCCATTTATCTGCGCCTCGTACGAGAACGCGTGGGTTACAACTTACAACAAAAGATCTTATTAGGATTCATGCAATCGGACTAAAATACTCGTTTGTATCTAACATTGACGTCAAAATATAATTTCAAAGCCGTAGAAAATTGATAAATTATATAGTAAATATCAAACAAAAAACTTTAGAAATATAATATTTTTGTAAGTCATTCATTGTGACAGTAGCAAAATAACAGCAGATGTCGGAGAATCGATTGAATCGTACGTAAGTTCAGTCCCACTAATCTATATATATAAAAATCTTTTGCCGTTGGTTAGTCTCGCTAAAACGGCTGGACCAATGAATAATTCTTGTTTTGTTTTGTTGGAGGGTGTGCCTGAGGTGGTTTATAAAAAAAAAGAATGGCAGTATATAATATAACAATTTAAATTACATTTTTTTTTAGTTTAAAATCTTTAATCTGTATTTATGATTTTTGTTAAGACATTGAGTATTTTCATTATAAATTTATTTCCACGAACTTATACCAACGAGTGAGTTTAATGTGATTAGTGCATCATTGTGTAGAGTCGACTAATAATCTGGATTATTTTCACTTTAAGGCGGCTTTAGTTTATTACTTAATCCAGCGGTTCCCAAATAGTGGTCCGCGGAACGCTAGTTCCGTGGAATGGTTACAAGGGTTCCGTCCGAGAGTTAAATAAAACGGTGTCACACATAAATCGTAATTTTAGTGCTATTATAAATAAATACGTGAAAAAAAAATCTTTCATCATATTAAATAGGCATATTTTGGGTGCAATAAATATTATTATAAGTGTTAGTATTTTTCACTTATGATTTATTCTTTCAAACAAAAAATTTTAACTACAACACAATCAATTTAGTTATTATCAAAATGGGGATCCGTTAAAAAATATGATAAATTAGGGTTCCGTAGCCAATAAAATTGGGAACCGCTGTCTTAATCTATATAAGAGAAATCATTACGATTAAATACTACAATATATTCTCTATTTATTTATCGACTAATCTACTAAAATGTGCTTATTTTAAATATGTCTTCACAGAAAAAAAAATTAAATAGCCTTTTATATAACAATATGAAGTCACAAATATTGATTAAGAAACAATAGGTTGCATAATTTCATTTATATAGTGAAAGTGATACAAAGAAACAGTAAAGCGTGGGATGGCATTAGGTATTCTATGACGTAAGAACCATTGATTCATGTAATATAATAATCTTATAAGTTATAAAAACATTCACTTACTCTTCTCCTTTCATCCATTTTTGAGAATAAGTTATTGAGTTCGCTACTGTAGTTATTCTGTAAACGAAAATTAATACTATTTTATAATTTTATTTTTATAAAATACTTCGTCAAATTTGCATAAATTATATATCAGTTTTATCATTTTATATTAGGTCTATATAAGGCGTTGGTAGTCCAGTGATAACGCGTTCGCTTGGAAAACCGAGTGAAGCGTGTTCAAATCCCGCGTCTCGCACCTCTAATTTGTAAGTGCGATTCATTTCCAACATGATAACCACTTGTCTTAATGCTATCAAGTTCTGATATAATTTAATATGACTTCGACTCTATGGTTAAAAATTTTAGATCCGAATTTGTCAACTTCACATAAGCTGAGATTTTGCTACCAAGTAAAACAACATTGGCATGTACAGTATACATATTCACATGGAATCAAACCCACGACCCCTTAAGCCCGGCTTTGTTATGTATTTATGTTTGTATACTTACACACTCTTCTTCCACTTTAGCGATCCTGCCACCAGTATCCTCTTCACTAATACTTTCTACTTTTATTGACTCTATTCTTCGCTGCATGTCTTCATTAATTAGTCTGTAACGAGATTATAATTAATAATATAATAGGTATAACGAGATGAAGATTATTAGGATAATATGTACATATATATATATATATATATATATATATATATATATATATATATATATATATATATATATATATATATTATATATTTACCTTACTACTCCATAATAATTTTATATAATATATAATAAGTTTAAAATTAATAATAATTCAAGCCTGCCAACTGTTGCTGGACACTGGCCTCCCCTCAATGTGAATGAGCTCAAACCAAGTACAGTCATTAGGGTCGATGGCCAATTCTATTCCGGATCGGGTCAAATTAACAAAAAGACCAGTAACAGCCCGGAGTTGGGAAGTTAGTGGTGTTTCAACCCCGTACCTCAGAGAGCAGGTCAAGCTGTCAGTCAGGTCGTGTCGAATTATCGTCCCACCAGAGGATAATAGTGAATGGAATATAGAATGCACTTGTGTCTGCGCGTACACTTATACACTATAATATCTCCTGAGCAGTTGGCTATTGGTCTTACAATTAGTGAGGATGGTCTCCGTGGCCGCAATCGGTCAGAAGAACATAAGGTTCTATCAGACATGCTGTGTAGTTTTTCTCATGACCTTTTTTACCTTCATTATATTAGTAAGTGGTAATAAAGTTGGAAATAATAATAAAAGTCCAGGATTTGACCTCACATCATTTGGCTTTTCAGCCATGTTGTGTGTGAAAATAAGACTTAAGACCTTGTAAATAAGATTAAAAATGTACACTGAATTAAAAACTTATCGCCTATCGTTAGTTATAGAATATTTTGTACAAATTTTTATGTCATATTTATACATTATAATACCTATAACGTATTCAATAAAAGTAAAATATGTTTAAATCAATTTACAAATTAAGAAAAAATGAAATGTAAAGATAAAAATATGCAACTGAATCAAAACCTGCTTTATTGTAATTATTTCAAAATGTCATATTTTTGAACAATTTCACAAATATATTTCAAGTGCAAGAGTCAATCAAGTCCAAACCTATTATTACGAGGTACAATAATTTTTTAACCTATATGACAATATAGGTGAAAAATTAGTTTTTGACTGAAAGGTAAGATTTTCAAAAAAATCATTTTACAAGCTTATAATCTTTTTTTTTCTTTGATTCGTGGGGAAACCCCTTTACGGGTGCCCGAGGGCGGAGGGCGCGCGGGGTATGTGGGACTCCTGTCGCGAGAAGCGCGACAGACTACCCACTAAAACCACCACGGTGAACACAAAAGACAGGGCATTGGGTTTGATACTAGCTAATAACCTACCTAAACCATTATTATAATAAAACTTACCTATTTAAATATGTCTGCAATTCAATTTCTTGAGATATTCGCTTCTCTTCTTGAACATTCCATCTCTTCTTTCTTGCTACACGAATTTGAGCTGCTATATCATCACCAAAATTCAATTTTTGGTCCCGAGCTAGGTCATTTGCTACAATTGATAAATATGCATTATAAATCTGTGTATATTATGTTACACATATTGCTTTAAGTACAATTTGCATGAGCACAATTAATTTTTTTTATTGGTACTTGTTCAGTAGTTTTGGTTTTTTTTTATAATAATAAAAGAAAATTTGGATATCATAATTTTTTCTTTGGATAAACAATATATATTCGTAAATATTATATAGTAAGAGTGTAAATGTGTGACTACCGATTGTGATGATATAACATAATATAATTTAAATTTAAAATCATAAGAAATAAGACAATATGTTATTATTACAATATGGGTATCAAGTAAAAGCTAATCCACAGGAAATCCCAAAAATAAATACATTTTTTATAAAACTTAATACTTTTTTTTTATACAAACTACAAAAGTAATTAAAAGAATATATTTATGAGGACAATTTTTTTTTCTATGTATATTTCTATACATACATCTAATATATAAAATTCTCGTGCCACAGTGTTTGTAACAAAACTCCTCCGAAACGGCTTGACCTATTCTTATGAAATTGTGTGTGTATATTCAGTAGGTCTGAGAATTGGACGTAAACTATTTTTCATACCCCTAAGTGATAAGGGTGGTCCACCCTAAAAATATTTTTTTGGTCAAAATCTTTTATTTTAATTTTTTTATGATTCGGCATTAAAAAATACATACAAACCTAAATTTCCACCAGGGACGAACCCGAGCTGAGCAAGGGTGAGTCTCTATTATGGTATACAATAGAGTAATATATGTAAATGTTTATAATGCACTCATAGTTGAATCACATAAAAACTCTTTAAGGTACTACCTATTATATCTTCACAAAATAATCGAACGATCCATTCTTTTTATTGTACATATGTTGTACATCATGGAGTTATTTAGAACATTCCATTCAAATACAATTTGTTGACAAAAGTTGAATAAACAACCTTGTACTTACATAATAACAAATATCATATAGGAACAATAAAACAGCAAGTACTCTGCTATTAAATACTTGGGAGTGTGGTTTTAAATAGGTACAATTAAGTTGTAATTTAGAAATGTTAGTAATTAGTCTCCTACATTAGTGAATCATTAGTTAACTTTACTAATTAGAATTACATTAAATATTGTTAATTCAAATAAAATACATAGTCATAGCTTTTCTTTTAGTATTAGCAATATTGAGATGTTTATTTTTTATACTAAATAAACATTATTATATTTATTATTTCTATGATAACCTCTTTAATAGGTAATATTATTTCTAGGATATTACATCATATTACAAGATAAACAATAGCATTCCCAAGGAGATTTGACGTCAGGCCGGTGGCCGGTCATAAAAATTTTGCCAAATCCTATCAGCAGTACTGATGATGTACTGCGCCGACCTCAAGTGATTGGGAAATGGGCAGGGAGAAGAATTATTTCGACTATATTATGTACAAAACAAACATTTTCAAACTGAATATTATATTATATATAACAATATAGTTAATAAATGAGTAAATTTGAATACATACTTTAAATAGATCTCTTTCTTTTAAAGAAAAATTAATATTATTTCTTTGCAATGTAACAAGTAAAAATAAATTAAATAAACTTACCCCTATGGAGATGTTTGATAGCCTCATCATAACATTCTAATTCTACCAAAGCCTGTCCTAAAAAGAAATGCCCTTTCACTTGATTATTGTCTATGTCAAGTGCCCTCCTGCAATCCTGACAAGTGGATTCCCATCTTTTCATTTTTAGGTGACATAATGCTCTATTTGTAAAATATGTGGCAACTGATGGATTTTTAATCTAGAAATTAATAGAAAATCAAATAACGTCGCATTCGTTGTTTTATACTATTTAATAACTACTTATCAGAAAAATTAACATTGAAAATATTTAGCATAATAAAAACAAAGAATGAAAACAAAAATAACTTCAATGTCATATTTTTGATATTGTTTATATAATACAATATGCATATTAACACTTACAATAGCCTTAGTATAGCAGTTCATAGCATCTTCAAATTTCCGTAGACTGAAAAGTCTATTTCCTTGTTCTTTTAGCTCCTTATCAGTCAAGTTAGCAGTGGAATACATATGCTTGCTCATTATTGTTGCTAATTTTATTCACCGTATATTAATATATTAATTATAGAACAGATGTCATCATAGCACAATTTCACCAGATTCTTGTATCCCTACTTTTACAAAGGAAAAATAAAAAAATATTTTCCTCGAATGCGAACGTTCGCGTAAACGTACAGATAAAACAAATCAAGAATTTGACAACTGACATTATCATAAATTGTGACATACTATCAAGTATTTTGACGTGAATTGCGTTTCATTTTACGGTAGACTAATGGGGAAGATTTCTCGAAAGGAGAGCGCTATACGTATGGCCTATTTACATTCAATTGTTCAATTTGAGGTTAAACAATTTATTATCATATCTCTTTTGTACCTGGTTTTTTGCTACTAAAATGTTCGCATCTTGTGCAATGTATTGTACCTGAAAGTTAGACCAGCTGAAGGAAGAATTGAGAAAGAGAGATGTATCACAATTAATTGCTTAACCTGAGACTGAATGTAAATTTTTATTTCTCATCCATGATGTAAATAGGCGTGGCGCCCTCCATTAGAGAAATCTTCTCTATTTACTGAAATTGTTTAAAATTATTTTTATGATGTTTTAAAATACTATAATAAATAGCATCAAAGAATGATTACTCTTTTTGTAAAACTTATGTGTATATATTTAATTAAAATATAATAAGCAAATACTAAAATTATTTCATAGCTCAATTCCAGCCATTTTGCACGATTACGATTTTTAATAGCGCCAATGCCATGAACTTTTATAGCCCAAAATATACCTAACACCTTTAATATAAAATATATTTTTTCAATATCCCACTTCCTTTTAGAAATATTGATGCTTACGTAAAGTTTTTAGTTCTGAATACCTTGTGTATTCAGAACTAAAAAACTTACTACCTATTTACTAAATTGTGTTGTAATTATGTGTATAATTGTTATAGTAAAATATAAAATCATCTGTATCATATATTAAAATCATATCATAACAACGTTTAGCAATTTCACATAATCAACTTTAATCTTATTATACAGATGTCCCAGAAAGTAGTATCAAGCGGAAGTCCAGAGATAGAGTACCCCTTGGGGTACCCGAATCACTCCCATATGTACGTTACGCGATTGTTCATACTTTTTGAGTTATGATTTTTTTTCTAAATTTTTGAGCAACATAAAAAAGTTCTAAAAAAAGTAGAATACTTTTTCGAGATTTTTATTACGTTTTTTACGTTCGGTGAATTATGTCTTAAATTTTCAAAATTAAATAAAAAATTTAAACATGTGACTTTATGGTTTCTAAGTATAATCTCAAAAGTTTTCCAAACTCTCAACCATAGAGTATATTGCTACATACTCTCAACTTTCATAATCATTAAAAAGAAGGAGTAGGTATTTAATAGGCTACTTTGGCTAAAATCGGCTTTCGAAGATATCGACGTGGAAAATACTTAAAATTATCCATTATCTGATTACAAAATCTTTTTTGGCCATTTTATCATTCTTAACGTTAAAATTCGTTTGTGAACTAACCAAAAATGACTGCAGGAAAGCTAAAGTTTAAGCATTTGGAATTTTTTTAATGTTTAATTTACGTTTCATTTAATTTAATTTAAGTTTTTTTTTGATTAATTTTAGTTTAATAAAACAAAAAGTAATTGTTATTAATTATTATTTATTTATTACTTATCAACAAAAACCGATGGCACAGTAAGTAGCGTCACTACAAACTGAGCCAAACGTGTCGTCAATATTAATATAATATTTACTTTAATTAGGTTTTTTAATTTTATTATAAATCGTGTATCTATAGGTAAATAGATATCTTCGAGCAATAATATGCTTGTTATTGCTTGAAGATAGATATTTTATAAAGCTGCCACTATATTAATTATTATAACAAATAAAACAGATTATAATAATTTAATACATTTAATCAATGGACTGATCTGAATTTTGTAAAAACAAGCGTTTTTCCCGCTTCCGCTAAGATACTTTTTATAATCCAATTCCAGTCATGAAATGAACTAAAAACATTTTCATTTTAAAATAGCCACGTTTACAGTGTAATTTTATTTAAGTTATTTAAAATAGATATAATTTAAAACTAAAGAACATTGATATTACCTACTACTATTTAACTTGGGTAAGAAAATATACTCACAGGCTAAAGGATGGAAGAAGGATGCCTCAATATAAAGGACTAGTAAAAAATGCTGAGTAGAGGATTCCAGTATAATTCATATGTGTTTATTTTTGTTGTCATAGCTAGTTTTTAATAAAATGGCCACTAATATGTGGGATCAACAGTAAGAGGTGGATTTAGAGGTATTTTGAGATTACCAAACTGTAAAAAGCACAAAACAATTAAAAGTTTTCTACTAAATGATGAATTTAAATGATAGTTGCCAAAATGAACAATAATAAACTCACTTTTTGCTCATCAATTTTTTTGTAAATATTCAAGACGTTTTCACACCACTTCCATATATTTTGATGGGCGGCGCCGCGCCTCTCCAACTGTTCGTTGAAATCATTCATATTTCGAATCTAATTTTAAAATATACAAATTGAAATTATATTTCTATGCACTAAATAAAGATCCTCGTCATACTGAAATATACATATTACCGTTTTAGTACACGCTTTGATTTTGCTTGCCTTTTTAGTCGTTGCTTTCCAAGGATAAGAATAAGGTTTTTTTGCATTTTTATTATCACTTTTCTTGGACTCATTGACTAATTTTGTTCTAAGTTCTGACTTGCTTTCTAAATCTAAACTAGTATTATGACGAAGCATGTTTTCCTATAAAAAATCAGAAATAATAAAAATATACCTACACACAAAGGTAACACATATATTTATCGTCGTATTCTGAGTCTGACTCTCCCTATCAATCTTAATCTCCCAGGAAATATCCATTTAAAATTGATTCAGCGATAGCTATTCCAGAGGAAAGAAAGTAAAAATGTATGAACAGACAAAATATAATAATAGAGTATCTATTTTATAATCATCCCAAACGTCTATTTGGAATTCAAATTTTATGTGTATTGTATTGTATTCAGCCCTTTTTAACGTCCCACTGCTGGGCACGGGCCTCCCTTCAATACGAGGGGGATCAGGCCATAGTCCACCACGCTGGCCAAGTGCGGGTTGGCGGACTTCACATGTCTTTCGAAAACTTGCTAAGTTCTCTCAGACATGCAGGTTTCCTTACGATGTTTACCTTCACCGTAAGGCAAGTGGTTATTTTAGAAATGATTCGCTCATGAAAATATCAGAGATGCGAGACCCGGGATTTGAACCCGCTTCACTCGGTTTCCCAAGCGGGAGCGTTACCACTGGGCTACCACTGCCTTTTTTTATGTGTATATATAAATTAAATTAAAAGTTATATAAAGTATATTTACTCGAAGCTTTTCTAATTCCGCGTCGATTTTCTTTCTAGTGGTCAGCTCTGACCGAATTTCATCTACCAGGTACGCCCAATATTTGTTGACGCGAGCACATTCGCCTAGTTGAGTTGACGGCAAATACGACAAAATACATTTGCTAATGGTTGATGGTAGCATTTGAATCTAAAGAGCAGTTTGTGAAGAGCTTTTAAAATTTTGTTAATGATTGAAAACTTTACACTTCATAGGAAGAGTGAATTTTGTTGATGTTGACATTGAAGCTAGAAGCATTTTAAGCGTTAGCTTCAGTCAGCGGCTTCGTCTTCATCTTGGATAATGCCAAAACGCTAGGTAACCCTAAATGCCCATGTGTACCAACTTTCATGGCTAACAGTTGAACGGTGTAGGTATCACCCAAGCCAAGTATATGGCCTTATAGTTGCAAATAACAGTGTACCTACAGTTTTATATACATTATCCAGCATTATGAAAATTGGAGAATAAATAATAAATTTTCTTTATGGACTTCACATCTAACACTTTTTAAAGAAATTATGTATTAAAGAACTTCCAGACATTAGCAGTCTTGAACAAACCAACATTCACATTGTTTTTTATATACATTTAAATTATATAAAATATAAATGAGTTTGCATAATATTATCAATAACATAGCTTTACCTCAGGGAGTAGGAGATATAAAACAAAGAAACAATACGTTAGCGTTTGAACTTAAACACTTATTGAACGTCATCAAGGTTGCATTTACATACATAATATATAATAAGTAGGTACATATTATAATTCAAAGTTAATGTCACTGTATAAACATAAGTTTGTGTGTTGTGTATATGTTTGTTACCCTTTCAGTCTCAAACAGCTGGACGGATTTGAATGTTTAATACAAAAATAAACTATTGCCAGAAGTAACAAATAGCCCACTTCTAGCAACCTAGAGACACAGCTAAGCTAAGCAAAAGATGCTGGTAGTCGTAGTAGTAAGTAGAGAAATGAGTGCGTAATATTTTAACAAAAAAAACGTACAAAATCTACAGTATCTACAGCATCTACTTTCGGCCGATTTGCTTTCCAGATCCTCTTTTTAGTGTCATCTTTATATACATATTCCCATTCTTCTAATTTTGTGCTGTCTCTACAAGCTTTTATTGTTGATAACCACAATGTCAAATTGTTTTCGAACTAAAATATTCGATAGTAAATATTACAATAATAATATGCAGTTATACCTATATAAAAACTTTAAAAAACCGACTTCCAGGCACTAAAATGTAAATAATAACTAAACAGAGGTTTTCATTTAGAATACGATACGAATATCGAATAGGTAAATATTTTACGTAAGATACGTAAAATACATACATTTACCTATTAGATATTCATATCTTAAAATATTGTAAACTTAAAAAGCAAAACCTTATCTAAGTACAAAATTTAATCAAAACCGTTAGCACCATTACTGAGATACACGAAATAAATTAATATCCATCTGGGGGCACGTTAGTGCCCCCGCCAAGACGAGCAAAGCAAGGGCACTAACTACCTTTTCTAGAAGCGCTTTGACGTTTTTTTGAACCCTCATAACTTAGGTTTGGATTATACCAGATAAACAAAATTCTCGGAATATGATTTCAATAGTGGACTTATTACAAATATAAAGTTTTAATTGCATAGCTCTTATACTTTAGATTTTATTGATATCTGAAAAACTCCGATTTCGTCACTGACACACTAATGTTCATCAAAATTCTTAGGGTACTTCCTGAAGTCCTAGAAAGCTAAAATTTGGTGTGTAAGCTAGTATTAGTACATAATAATATAGTTACTACAAGAACTATTTTATAACAGAAAAGTAATGCATATTGCATAGTGAATAAATTTTTCACCTTACACCCATGAAACGGTAGTGAGACGGCCAAGCCACATATTTTGAATAAGGTGTAGAGTTTGTGAAGCTACGACTTGTAGAGTTAGGGTGTGTAGAGTTAGAAGCTTGGTTCTATATGATATCTGATAACTTTTTGACAGTGCGAGCCATATAACATTTATGGTCTCGTCTTGGCAACATTTTACATGAAAATGTTTTTGATGGGATAGATACAAGAATTGTTCATTTAATACTATAAAATACAAACTTCTTTCTGCGATTGTCCAGGCAAAGGAGTGTGTTTAAATTCAGAGATCTGAGTAAATGAACTTTTTCGACGAGGTGCTTGATCTTTTTTTGCCTGCAATTATAAATATGTATATTATAATCCAAGAGATTTATATATCGCTTGAATGATTTGCAGTTATTTAAATATAATATACTATATAAATCAAATTAGAAATATAAAAGAATAGGTGTTGTGTAACGTAAGTTCACCGGTTCAGGTGAAATAACTTTTTTCTCAGGTGGTGGTTCGTTGACAAGAGTACATTCTAGTAAATTTAGAGCGTCTTGTTCAACATAATTTTCATATATGAGCCTTAAATGCTGCAGTACTTCCCACATAATCGGGCCACCAGATATTGACAATAACTCTGCAAGTACGAGATATTGTTCTTCCTAAAAATAATAATTATAAGTAGGCAAATCGATTTTGTGATGGATTTAAACATTAATAATTAAAAAAAAGTAGTACTTATATTATATTTTTTAATAATTTTAATCATTAAAACGTTAACAAACTTAAAAAAAAACATATTGTAAAAACTTTTTGTTCGAGACTGGTTCTATCTTTTTCTGTGTACCTACTTAAAAATAAATTTATCGAACACAAGTTTTTACTAAGACTGTATATTCCATGACATAAACAAAATAAAAAGTATAAAGAGTGTTTAGACGTACTGGTTTAAGTGACTGAAACCATTTGCGATCATTTTTCATAACATTTTTAAGAGAAGACTGTGGTAGAGCGGTGCGGTTATGATCCATAGGGACCCGGTCATGGCTGCTCCATAGCTTAGGCCTATTAAAAATAGAAAAAAACGTTATTGATAAAATAGAAAAAAAAAGTTTGTTTATGTTTAAAGATTCAAACGAGTAACAAAGGTAAGTATCACATTCATAAATACAAGCTTTATTATTCTAGTTTATGCATAAACAGTAACTTTTGTATTTTAATAGGATATAATAATAGTAAATTTCTTAATTTATGGCTTTAGGAGCGTCATTTGAGCAGGATGTACTCTACTAAACTATAAGGATTATTAGCCTATTGCTACGGAACCCTAATTAAAATGTTAATTTACTTCTTTACATATAATAAAATTGTAACTAAGTCGAATCTGTACATTAAATATTTTTTGGAAAATCTAATTGAAATAGATATTATTATCGATACAGAGTCCGAATCTATAGTTTTTAGAATTTTTGTCTGTCTGTCTGTTACCGCATCACGAGAAAGCCACTGGACAGATTTTGATGAAATTTGGTATGATGATAGCTGGTTATCCGGGTCAACATATAGGATACTTTTTACCGCGGGATAATGTCTCATTTCTGAGAAAAAGTACAAAAACTGCACTGTAAGAGTATACTAATATGTAAAACCTAAGAATTTGGTTTTTGGTCATCTGAATGCGGGCGGTGCCGCAATGCTAGTAATCATATAAATACAAATTAAAACTATCAATATTAAGTTATGTGAAAATATTAAGATAAATATTATATTTACCCGGATGTCGACATCACAGCATCCTTCGGTCTACAATTCCATATCGATTTCAGTACTAAACATATTGTTCGAATACTCTTTACATCATCCAATAAACTTAGGATAAATCGCTTTTTATGCGCCCAAGAAACTCGGGTAAACCATTGTTTTATTTCTAATAACTTCTTACTGAATTCTAATGATTCTAATTGCATGCTGTTGTCTAAAAATTGTTGTTTTTTTATGTATTAGTATATTGCAAATTCGTGGTTTTAAACTAAGTGAAGCGGATTCAAATTTTGTTTTCGTCATTCTAAATTATTCATATGCTAATCTTAATTTCAACATGATTGCATAAATAGTAAAGGAAAACGTTGTTAGAGAACCTACGCATCTCAGAGAACCTAATTTTCTTTTTTCGAGAAAATGCCGTGTCGGTGTGGCATACTATTGGCAAATCCCCTCGCATTAAGGAGAGGTATGTCCCCAACAGTGGGACGATAAAGGTTATTTTTGTTATTTATATTAATACTAGCAGAACCCACGGCTTCGCTCGCGCTAAAACTACAAAAAAGTCTCTAAAAAGGTAGTTTCATACAAACTTTCATCCCCTATTTTACCCCCTTATAGGATGAATTTCGAAAAATGCTAAAATACATATTTATTTAATTTTATTGAAAAGCGTTAATACATAGGTTCATGTAATTCTGATAATAAATATTTTCATATTACGTGTTTTCCCGTGGGAATTAGATAATCTCCCGCGGTAAAAAGTAGCTTATGTCACTCTCCAGCCCTCTAACTATCTCCATACATAAAAATCACGCCAATCCGTCACTCCGTTTCGATATGAAAGAAGGACAAACAAACAAACACACTTTCACATTTATAATATTAGTATGGGTGACTATTCATACATATAAATAGGAAGCGAGAAACTAAATAGCATTTACCTAATCGTTATTTGGCAATAAATAACGTTCACACAATGTTAAAAATAACAAAATTTCTTTAAAGCCTATTTCTAAATCTAAGAGTTCTAATGCTCCCGTTTCAAGATTGACAACGAAATTACAATGAAAATACAATTACATTACAATGTTCAATATCACGTTAATTACCATACTTTGAGTCCGATAGAATTTTATCATCAATTAATTGTAATTGTTTCATTATCTCGTCGAACAATGCCATTATTTATTTTATGTAACAGCAAAATCTTTAAAACGACATTTATTTTAAAAAATGTATGTCATTCTAGTTTTAGTTGTAAAAATTATAAAAATATATATAAATACTTTTTTTAGTATATGAATATTTTTTATAATTTTGCAAAATATACTGTATAGGAAATAATAAAATTACATATTCGATTATGATTGCGTCTAAGCGACACACCTGATTGCTCACAATTTTCCTAACGCGTACTCTGATCCCAGGGTCAATACTACAATGGCAGTTATACTTTATATACGTTCCAGTTACGAATCTAAGGATTTTCTGACACCGTCAGTCAGAAATTGTCATGGCGCGTGATGACACGCGATTAGAAACGACTGCAAAACCCAAGAGTGCTAATATTTGTAAATTCCTATTTATCATCGGTCTAACAACATTTGTGGCTGCGGCGTATTTTATATCTAAAACACCATTAGATGCTTTAGGAGATCCAACAGATCAATTTATTGTTAAAAGTATTCCTAAAAGATATCAAAGGTTGGAGGGGATAGACCCTGAAGAAAGGGATGTTTTTCATGGTTTTAAAACCTCTTTTCTCCCACCTGAAGAAATATTTCTCTCTCGAAGAGATTTGGACAGCAAAGGGGAGATCTATGAGGGTAATTTAACAAGTGATATATTTATTTGGGATAATGAGGCAAAAAATCACAATGCCCCTACTAGAGTTAAGCGAAGAAGTCATTTCAAGTTCACGTCTCATGATTACGAGTGAGTATTTATATATTTGTAAATAGTAGTTTGATTTTTAACTCATTTAACTCGTGATTAAGCTTTTTACCCGACTGCAAGGAAAGGGTTATGTTTTTCGCTTAACTTTGTATGTTTATCTATACTAATATTATAAAGAGGTAAAGTTTGTGAATTTGTGAGATTGTTAGTTTGTGACGTTGTAGGGAGTAATCTCTGGATCTACTGAATCGATTTCGATGAAATTTGGTAAGAAGATAGTTTGAGATCCTGGGAAGGACGAAGGATACTTTTTATCCTGGAAATCATCACTTAAGAGGGTAAAAATGAGGATGAAATTTTGTATTGGGAAGCAAGCTAGGGACGAACCCGAGCGAAGATTTTTAATTTTCTTTATTCGCTCATATCTTTCAACCCACTCGATGGATTTCTTTAATTAAGGTATCGTTAGATTCACCTCATTAGCCCAAGTGTTCTTAGATAGGTGACTTAAAAAAATTAAATATGGGGGCTGCTAGATTCCATAATGTGAAAAAGAAAATATGAAAATCTACGAACTATGTCAAGTGGGGTATCGTTAAATAGGTATTTAAAATCATTTTTAGGTTTGTTACACCATTTTTCATTTTAAATAACAGTTTAGGATATATAATAATTGAAAGTTCGTTAACAACCATTCTCGTTAATTTTCCTACTTAAAATTCTGTATATAAATAAATAAATAAATTATAAAATTAAAAAAGATGTAAATAATTGATTATACTATTATAGCATTATGCAGTCGGAGGTTTTTTATTTTTATAATACGTTTATCTTTTCTTCTGCAATTAAAACTTAGTCTAAAAATATTGTAATAATTTTATATTATTGCTTATATTATTAATATTATTAGGGCATATATGTAGGTATATATTATATACAAATAAATGTATGGCAAAATGATTTGTTATTGCTCAAATAAAGATTAAGTCAGTAATAATAAGCTTTAACATTCAAGTCTAAATAGTATATAATATAAGTAAGAAATTATATTAAGAAAGATTTTCTTCTTTAACAGTCAAAAGAATCCCATGTCTGATCAAAAGAGTGGCGAAGAAGATAAAGACACAAAAGAAAGAGAAGATTATGAGAATAGTTCTCAAGGTGAATATGATGATGATGAAGGAAAATTTCATAGGTAATTCTGGAAACGTTATTTAAAATATATTTATCTATACTAATATTATAAAGAGGTAAAGTTTGTGAGTTTGTGAGTTTATGATGTCGTAGGGGGTAATCTCTGGATCTACTGAACCGATTTAGATAAAATTTGGTTAGAAGATAGTTTGAGACCCTGGGAAGAACATAGGATAGTTTTTATCCCGGAAATCATCCTTTAAGGGGGTGACAATGTGGATGAAAGTTTGTATGGGGAATAAAGCTAGGGACGAACCCGAGCGAACCGAGGGTGAGTCGCTAGTTAATAATGTGTGAAATGTAGGTAGAAAGAACTGCAGGTAAAACTAATACAATTTCTAATTGTTTACATTTCACTACGTCTTCTTGCTTACACCTCACCTACCAAAATAATCATACAAAATACTTTCCGATTTCGCGACAACCCTTTAGCTTTTCAGAAGTAAAAGTAGTATTTAGAATGTGATTCATAAGCACTGACTACAAAATATTACAAGGTGTTCCGGTGCCATTCTTGCAAATTGTTGCATAATTTTATGACTAGATACCGTTTGTAATAACTTACAACATTTGCGATACCAAAAACCTTAGTGTCTCTCGTGTCCATGCTCGCTGAAAAGCAATCGAAATTAACAAAAAAATAAAAAAAAAGCCTACCTATTAAATACATACCTAATCAAATATTTTCGAAATCGGTGCCAGCCCATACAAAGCAAAGCACACCGACTTCGAAAATATTTGATTAGGTATGTATAGTAAATGAAAACTACCAATCAGTTATTTTTTACTTTTTAGTGCTTTTGTTTGAAGTCGGTTTTTATTTTTTTTGTTAAAAAGTTTTTATTTTTCCCTTTTTAGTGTAGACAGTAGTAGCAAAGTAAGAATTCTAAAGTGTTAGGCTTGTCAAACCAAACAAAATAAGCCCAAACTCAAAGTATCTACTATTAGTCGTTGAAGAGTTCCACCTATCCACCTTCTGGCCGTACCATCAGATCAGGTCAACAATACCGAACCACTGTACTATCAACGGAAATTGAAACCCTTGCAAAGTTTCAAGTCAATATGACAATTAGAAGTAGGTTAAATTCATTATTAGCTATTTTTCCACCCTTAGGGGTGGTATTTTTTTTGAAATTTAAATGGGTGGTCCCATCTGGAAGTATACCCTTTCAAACAAAACAAAAATTGTCCAAATCGGTTAATAAATGACGAAGTTCTGAGGTAACAAACATAAAAAAAAAAAAAAAAAATACAGTCGAATTGAGAACCTCCTCCTTTTTGAAGTCGGTTGAAAATCGGGAATCCATACTAATATTATAAATGTGATAGTGTGTTTGTATGTTCGTCCTTGTTTCACGTCGTAACAGAGTGACGGATTGGTCTATTTTTTCTGTGGAGATTGTTGAAGGGCTGGAGAGTGACATAGGCTTTTTACCGCGGGAGACTGTTTCATTCCCACGGGAAAACACGTTTTATACAATGTAAAAAATATTTATGATCAGAATTACTTGAAGCTTGGTATTAATGCTTTTCAATACAATTAAATAAATACGTGTTTTAGCATTTTTCGAAATTCATACCATAAGGGAGTAAAATAGGGGATAAAAGTTTGTGAACTGAAACCTGAACGTGAAACCTACCTTTTTAGAGTTTTTTTGAAGTTTTTAAAAAAAAAGAAAGTAGTATGTACAATTTACACGTGTTAGAAGTGAGACATTATTGGTTATTTATATTATGTACATCTCTATCTATTCCATACTAAGCGTTTAAGTGCTATAAATATTTTGCACTTTGGAAAACAAATTACTAAAAATAGTAAGTAACCTTTGAAGATAGCAACGGAAAGTATATCACTTATATCATTTGTGCAAGTTGGCAATCTAACGCAAACGTCGCGACAGACGGACAGGGGCATGACGGTTTTTCGTGATTTCTCATGACGCGGCCTTGAAAGTTTCACTTCAAAAATATGAAATATGAAATAAAAATAACCGGAAAAAATCATTTAAAATGGTCAATTTTTTATAAGTGTGGTGCATCCGGAAATGTACGTTGACCGTGGTCCGCTTGACGATGTGGAACAAATCCGCCGTCAACCGGAGCTGGAAGAAGCAGAAATGGGCTCCGCTGCACATGTGTATAAACCAATCCGATCCTTCACAGGTAATAGAAAAAAAACAATTTTTCTTAGTAATTCTATAAAAATATTCCTTTCTTTTTGATATTAAACAAAAGCTAAAGCTTAAGTTTCCAGGTCCTCTATCATCATCATCTACATACGTACTAAATTTCATCTAAATTCATCCACTCGTTTCATTATGAAAGAGTAACATACATACACACACATTATAACACATTTTAACATTTAATAGGTTATTAAAAATATTTTAATTAGTTTTATTGATAAGTTCTATTTAGGTCATCGTCCACGTGGCTATTATCTCTTGCAAGTTCGCACACAATTGCACTAAAAGGATAATCGGCAGAAAAATTATCCAATTGACCGTTGACCTAAAATAAGTCAAGTTCATGTGTACATCTATATTGAATATTACTGCATGGATTTGATTATAAATAAACGTTTAATTTTCTTGTATAAAATTTAAAAAAGTGACAAAAATTTGTTAATAAAGTATATAGTATAAATATAAAACATGAATTACAATAGACTATTACTTTACCAAGCAGGTATTCGTTCCTTTTGGAAAAGTCAAGGCGACAAAGACACTGTTAGACGTACACAAGCTAATATAATGAAACAGTACATGGACGCAGAAGCTGACCCTTGCCATGATTTTTATCAATACGCCTGTGGGAACTGGCCAGCACTGAACCCCATTCCTGCCGACAAAGCTGGGTATGTCACATTTTGTAAAGCCAATATATTTCTAACATTAACAGGTAATTCTTTACAGCTATGACACGTTTGAAATGCTCAGAGAGAATTTAGACACGGTCCTAAAAGATCTGCTAGAGTTCAAAAAGACTGAACATGTACCTACTTCGTATCCCGGTCCTCATTTGGATGTAAATAGTGACATTTTACCTCTAAAACAAAACGGAATATGTTATTGTAGACCTGATAACATTCCCGTAGATATAATCGTTCAGAATTCTAAAGAAATTACTAATTTGACACAAGATAAAAACATGTATGATATTAATAATAATGGTGAAAATAAATCAGAGATAATTAATCGTATACGAAGATATTTAGATAAAAAATCAAAAGAGATGAAGAAATTGGAATTTAAAGTGAAATCCAAGTTAGTAAATAAGAACATTCTCAAAAATAAAAAACGCGAGAAAGAATACTTAAATAAGCATAAGAGAAATTTAAAAAGTTATCCTACAAGCTATTATGCAAAAATAAGAAAAAAGCGCACAATATTTAATAATGGAATGAGTGGTGACAGATTTTTAACAGAGAGAGTAAAAAGAAAGGAGCCGTTAGCGAAATTCATACTGAAACTAAAACAATCACATAAAAAATCCAATGATGATCCAGCAAACGGAGACGCCGCCTTAAAAGCAAGATTTTTGTTTAAATCGTGCATGAATCATGATATTTTACAAAAAAGGGCACATCAACCTCTTTTAGATTTATTAGACTTTTTCGGAGGATGGCCAATTTTAAAACCAGGTTGGAATGCGAAAAACTTTGATTGGTTAGAACTTATGGCTCAATTGAGACTATATAATAATGATATATTAATATCAGAGTGGGTTGGACCAGACATTAAAAATTCTGACGAATTCGTCATCCAGTTTGATCAAACAAGTCTAGGTAATAATACAATAATGATAATAAAATAATGAATTCACCGCCATTCTAACAGTCGATTTGTGCTCATAAAATATGTATTATTTTAGGTTTGCCTACAAGAGACTATTTTTTACAAGAAACAAATAAAGTATACTTAGACGCGTATAAAGCGTACTTAGTAAAAATAGCGTCATTGCTCGGCGGAGAATCTGAGCATGTAAAAAAAGATGCAGAAAAACTTATTAATTTCGAAATCAAGTAAGTATATAAAATGTATTCAGATAACATCAGTAAAATAAATAATCGACTATCGTAACAGATTTAGCGAAAGGTTTAGAAATTGAATCATAATATTTTTTATATTGAAAAAGAAATCAATGGAATTAACATGCTTGTGTAAAAAAACTGTTTTCAATTTTTCTTTGTTAATAACAAACACTATATAAGCTCGTCAATAGCCACTAAGCAAAAAAAAAGAAAATCGATAGACAAACAGAGAAGAAGAAGGTATTGAACGGTTTTGTATTTGCCTCTTTATTATATTTTAGATCTTAGCATATTTTGTAACATATACTCAACACAAAAATGACCAACACAATAAATTATTACGTATAAAGCACAAATGACAAATGTTATACTGACGCACACTGTATAGTAAATTATAGCATTATTACAGGCTTGCAAAGATAACCTCCGCTCCAGAAGATAGACGTAATGTATCAGAACTATACCGACGGATGACCATTGCGAAACTTGAAGGTTTAGTGCCGCAGATTAAATGGAAGCGATATTTGTGCATTGTAATGAATAGAACGGTACAGCCTGAAGAGACTGTTGTCTTGTTCGCGCTTAACTATATTCGGGTGAATAACAAAATTCTAATATTAATTTTTATTATCTTCATTAGACTTTAAAATAACTGTAATTACCAATAGTATAACTAATTATATCCTTAGTTTCTTTTTAGAAATTTATTAAGGAACTCCCAAGATTTTTAGAATTTGTCTATAGTTTACATATTTTGCGTAATATACATAAAATCATACAAATTACATATGTAAAGATAATAATATATATATATATATATATATATATATATATATATATATACAAATTATTAGGTCATTCAAGAGTTTATCTGCAATTGTAAAATACTTAATTAAATTCATAACATGTTTATGAGATACTTTAGAGATCTTCATGATTCATCTACAGAAAAGCTTTCCTATATTTTTGCTTATAATAATCACAGAAGTAGCACCACAGATTTTAATCTGATTTTCATAATCAATTCTCTGTGCTTTAGACTCAACATCCAAAAACGTACTTTTATGATAAAGTAGGTATACAGTAATAATTGAAATGTTCGCTTGACTTACAACATAATATTATTATATAAATATATATTTAATTAATAAATTCGTTGGTCGTCATCAGCACTTAGTCCAATTGATAGAGAAGACGGATCCGGACACTTTATCAAATTACCTTCTGTGGAGATTTGTGAGGCACCGAGTGAACAACCTGGACGATCGCTTTCAATCTGCCAAACAGCAGTGAGTACAAAGATCACTGTGACGCTATATCTATACGTATGTTACATAATAAAAATGTAACTAAGCCGAATCTGTACATTAAATATTTTTTGGAAAATCCTCTTGAAATAGACATTATTATCGATACAGAGACCGAATATATAGTTTTTAGAATTTTTGTCTGTCTGTCTTTCTGTCTGTCTGTGACCGCATTACGGAAAAACCAGAGGGAAAAACTAGAGAGATTTTGATGAAATTTGGTATGATGGTAGCTGGTTGTCCGGGTCAACATATATGATACTTTTTACAGCGGGAAAATATCCCATCTCTGAGAAATCTATACTAAATGTTAAAATATAAGTAGGGACGAACCCGAGCGGAGCAAGGGTGAGTTGCTAGTAATAAAATAATAAAAATCAAAAAGCTGCATTTCTGTTAGCCGACTTTAATAAAAAGAGGACTCCCAAATTCTGTATATAAACCTACTGATACATGAATTTGCATTCGCCTAGTCTATTTTCTCAAGCTCACTCCGTAAGTGTCGTATTATAATATTACATAGCCTTCCTCAATAATTGGGCTGTAATATGCATGAAGATTTTTTTAAATCGAACTGGTGGTTGATTAGCGGGTTTAAACAAACAAAAATTTCAGCTTTTTATGTAATAGGTAAACAATCTAGAACTATGACGTAATGGTTTGATCAAAATGTAGATCGTTGTTTATTTTATTAAAACAAATAGCTTCGTCAAAACTTATTCTCTATCTACACCTTAGCTCTACATTACATGTTGCAGATTCTATTATATTTTGTTTGGTCGAGAGCAAGCGCCTTCGAGATGGAAGAACTGTATATCACAAGTGAACTCTAACATGGGAATGGCATTAGGGTCGATGTTTGTTAGAAATTATTTTGATGAAATGAGCAAAAACGACACACTAACTATGACGAGAGAAATTCAACAGTCGTTCAGGGAGCTATTACATATGACGGATTGGATTGATGACGAAACTAAGAAACTTGCAGGCCACAAAGTCGATACAATGATGCTTAGGATAGGTTATCCAGATTTTATATTGAATAAGAAGGAGCTTAATGATCGCTACAAAGAAGTTCAAATACACCCAGATAAATATTTTGAAAATATCTTGAATATTTTACAGCATTTAACTAAAATGGAGCAATCTCGGTAATTATTTTATTAATAGATATAAATAATATATAGTCAAAACTTTTATGACTTAGACTTCGCCCAGGACTTTGCTATCGTAAATGATTACCACGAGAATATTCTCCATTCTAAAATACTATTCATCAATTTTGATGGCATTCAGTTCAGTGGTAATAAAATATACAAATAAGTATTGATCCTATTTAGTGGCGAGATACAATATATCTACTGTATTTTTACTTAAAAAGTTTATCCTATTAAAGCTGTTTTTAGTTATAGTTACTTAAATGTAGAGATTTTCGTTTACATACTTTAGATTATTGTTGTGTGTAGGTAGTGTTTATTCAGCTATATATATATATATATATATATATATTTAAACTAAGCCGAATCTGTACATTAAATATTTTTTGGCAATCTTTTTGAAATAGACATTTTTATTAATAGAGAGGCCGAATCTACAGTTTTTTAAATTTTTGTCTGTCTGTCTGTTACCGTATCACGGAAAAACCACTGGAGGGATTTTTATAAAATTTGGTATGATGATAGCTAGTTATCCGGGTCAACATATAGGATACTTTTTACTGCAGCACAATATCTTATCTTTGAGAAATCTATATTAAGCGTCAAAACGTAAGTAGGGACGAACCCGAGCGGAGCGACGATGAATCGCTAGTGTAAATATATTATCGTGCATAAATAAATTGCGATGCAAGCATGAAGAATAAATATAACATTACAGTATCGGTCAACCTGTAAACAAAACACTGTGGAACACGGCGCCAGCAGTCGTCAATGCATATTACAGCCGGAATAAAAATCAAATAATGTTTCCCGCCGGTATTTTACAGCCACCGTTCTATCACAGACATTTTCCCAGATCGTTAAATTTCGGCGGAATCGGTGTTGTTATTGGTGAGTTTTTCTTTTGTTCTCTATTCTATATCTCTCAATATTACGTTATTTACTCATGGGTGAAGCCTAAGACTTACCCTACCTTAGCTCTAGCTATTACTGGCTTTTCTAATTTTTATATATATATTTTTTTTATGTATGTGCAGGCGGTATGCGTAAATGCATTTCGCAATGTTAGATGCCTTTTTACTTATAATATTACATACAGACTACAACATGTCTTGCGAAATTTTATTACTAACTGTAGTGTATGTATTATACTCATTTTAGTTAATGAATTACAGGTCACGAAATAACTCATGGATTTGACGATAAAGGTCGATTGTTCGACTGCGAAGGAAACCTACATCGTTGGTGGTCGGACTCCGCAATAGAAGCGTTCCACCATCGCGCGCAATGCCTTATAGACCAATATGGCCAATATGTAGTGCCTGAAGTTAATATGAAATTAGACGGCGTTAATACACAAGTAAGAAGTAGTCATAAATATTTAGTGTTCGCGATGAACAAAAGAAAGATTTGGATATTTTCTCAAAGATTTATATTAACACCTCCGGGTAAATTTCTAAGAAATTATTTAAATTTCTAAGAAATCTATTGTTAACTCTAACGCCGGCGTGTCCGCGGTCGTGGAGGGATTAGTTACAATGTTTTACTTATGAGTGGTACAGGGTCCAGGTGTCGTGTTGCACAAACAAGTAGAATGAGGGTTGTGTTAGGTGATGCAAGTAGAATGAGGGTTGTGTTAGGTGATGTATGATTCCCCCCCAACGTGCGTTCACCTTGTCGTGGTGGGGGGGCTCAGTAGTGCCCGGCAATCCAACCGGGCGCGAAGCCAAGAAACGCACAGGGAGGTTGCCCACTTCGGTGGGCGGTGGGAGGTGGCCCTCTTCGGGGGGCGGTGTACCATGTGGGTTGCTCCTGGTACTTCTCTGATAGCAGAGTGGACTAAGGAGCAACCCCATGGTTGTGGTGGTCTGCTTCGGCGGACCTGCCGTCGGGGCGTCGTAGTTGAATGCGCAAGCGATCCTGCGACGCCCCATTAAGACGGGGGAAGGTTTTGTTGGGTTTTAGTGGGTAGTACTGGCTGTATTACGCCGGTGAGTCCCACACCTCGTGCGTAAATGCATTTCCCAACGTTAAAAAAAAAAAAAAAGGTGATGTATGATTGACGTAGTGAGTTTTTAATTACACTAACAGTTGATTGATGATTCAGAGTTATAAGTTATAACTTGACACAATAAAGTATAAACATAATAAAGCGCCTCTTGTTATAGGCAGTTCAAAAATTCGTCATTGTTTTTATGAACGTTATAAAGTCATATTTAATCGCACTAGGAAGAGTGCGATCTACAAAAATTACGCTTTCCTTTATTCTCATGTTATCTACAGTTGAGAAGAAAATAAAACTTTGGAATGATTAAGGTTTCTGTAGAACGTAATGCAAGTGCGATTCAGCTTTCAGTCAGCGCCATCTAGTTAGCACACTTTAAAAATTTAAAATTAATGGGCATTTTGTTCTTTTTTGTATATATTGCAAAACCTAGCATATATAGCGATTCATTGTTATCTCCATCCATAGGCCTAAAATATATAGATACATAGGCTATAAATATCCTAGGCTAAAATATATCTAGTTTTTTTTTTGGTTTCGCATTCAATATTCACCTGTGAAACGAGAAAACCCTTACCGTAATAAGACTCGCTCGAGAAATAGTGTAGTCTTTGAAAATTTGTACTAACAACTAGAAAGCGCTGTTAGTTTACTCATATATCAGCGCGATTCATATTTAATGCACTGCCATCTAGGGTAAGTTTTTTAAACTTTAAAAGAACGAACGGTCATTCTCTTATTTAGTCTATCTATTTATTTAGACCCTAATTAACGCTTTCAATCTACAGAAATTAAAAGCCATTTATTTACGAAGTACTATATTTTGTTTTATATTTAACCAAAACATCTAAAAATTGTTACTATAACGTTTAGTATTATAATATGGTCTGTGATTTAACTTACAATGTCTGTCAAAAAAAATTTACTAGGCATAGATTTTTTTTTTAATATTTCTAATTGTTTTATTGCCAAAACAAATCAAGAATTACACTTGTAAATTATGTATTCAATATTTTAGTCCATACTATGATTGCACAGCAGCTTCCGCGCGCTTTGCGCTCCCGGCGGTGAAAAATCGAACTAAATCTCTATATACTGGGCGAGTGATATACAAATCTTAAAATAAATTATTTATACACATTTTAATTCCGTAACTAATAATTCCACTCTTTTGATGACAATTGTTGATTTACAATTATTGTTCTCGAGGCTTGATAGTTAGTATATTAAATTAAAAAATAATATGGAAAATATTTATGTTTTATATTACAACAAATTGATACAAATAAAATGATAGAAAGTAGTTCTAGTTGCCAAGTATACTATCTACAGTAGGTACACATCGATCAAAAAAGTACTAGGTAGGTACACAATCAGCGATAAAAAATGTCCTCACTGAATGAACGCTCATTTGAACATTTGAGCGCGCTTTTAATTTTATTTTGTGAAAATAACTTTAGGCATGTTCAATTAACATTGTTGTATATTTATTTCAACTAGAATAATTACCTAAACACACAATTGGTGACAGTTTTAAGATATATATAGCATTGTGTATCCTATTACTTTTTAGACGGTGGATATTAAATATTACCTTTGCAACTTGAACTATAAAAATCAGTTTTTATTTTTGCATTATCTTCATATTAATATTATTGTTCTTTTATTTGCATTTCGCAAGCGCCAATATTAACAAAATGTTTGTTTAAATTTTAACACAGTCACAACTCACAGGACATAAATGAAAAGTGATAAGTGATAGGGACGAACGTGAGCGAAGCGAGGGTGAATCGTATTAGTACATAATAAGTTTATTTAATCGTAAATTTTTCAATTGTACTCTATCAACTTGATATTTTATAATATAAACTAGCGACTCACCCTCGCTCCGCTTGGGTTCGTCCCTGGGGTGGGGTCTGGGAGGGCCACCCTTATCCTTATCACTATAGGGGTATGGAAAATAGATAGTAGCCGATTCTCAGACCTACTGAATACGCATATAAAATTTGGTAAAAATCGGTAAAGCCGTTTCGGAGGAGTACGGTAACAAACATTGTGACATGGAAATTTTATATATAAGATTATAAAGACTGTATAGCAAACGTCTACCAAAAAGCGAAAGGTACTTCGTTCCGACCAGGGGTCCATAGATTCTTCACGTTTTTTATTTTCTTTTTAGGGTGAAAATATAGCAGACAATGGCGGTGTAAAGCAAGCGTTCCACGCGTACCAGCACTGGCTCCGGAACAACGACGCTGCCGACGAGACGCTCCCTGGACTCAACCATACCCATACTCAACTGTTCTTCCTAAACTTTGCACAGGTTTGTTGAAAAATAATAAATAATTATTAAAAGAATGTCTAAACTCTAGAATAACTTTAGAAGAATGATATTAAGGTAGATGTTTAAGTCACAGTGAGTAATAGTCTAAATTAAGGCTTAAAATTTTGCTTGAATGTGTTCATTAGTGCTTAACCAAAGTTCTACGAACTGCGTACATTACATTAATTGTTATTCTGAGTATGGATGTTTGTTACTCTTTCAAGCCAGATCGGCTGAACGGATCTAGATTGAATTTGGCACAGAGATAGATTATAGTCTGGTATAACACATAGGCTACTATTTATCCCGGAAAAATGTACGGTTCCCGTGGGATAGGTTTGTTTTTGTTGTAAAATAATAAATTTATATAATAATAAATATGAACCTCTTACATCAAGAAGACAAACTACGGATATAAATTTAAAATAATAATGATTACACTTATTACTAGGTATGGTGTGGCGCCATGCGGCCAGAGGCAATGCGTAACAAATTAAAAACAGCAGTACATTCCCCAGGGCGGTTCCGAGTTATAGGAACACTTTCGAATTCCCTCGACTTTGCTAGAGAGTTCAAGTGCCCTCCCGGATCTCCTATGAACCCTACAAATAAATGTAATGTATGGTGATCTATAGAAAAAGATCGACAAGTTGACATAGTTATCGATATCGTTATTAGAAAACTTTTTAGGAATTTATATGAGAATGAGAGTTTCTTACCACTCGACGATGCTTAAATATATCATTTTCAATCATTTTTTAGTTTTCTATAATAGAGATCGTAAAATATCAGCTTGTCTTTTGCTCTTCTGGAAGTAGAGATCCATAGTATAATTATTTTTATATTCACAAGAAGTATGTAAAAACACTTAGGGTATATTATAATACATTTAGTTAGTGGTTTTTAGAATAATAAAGAACAATACATAAGTTGTGATTTAAAAAAATTAAGTGAAATCCAAAACTTTAATTTTTCTCAAAATGCTACTTAGTAAAATTTCACCGTTATCTAAAGAAAAATGATAATATATGAAATTGTTTATAATAATAACTACTGTTCGTTAAAATACAGTAATGGAAGTTTATAGGATATAGAATTTCTTTATCTGTAATATAATACCTATTATTAATAATCAGTTTTAAAATCTAGTCATCCAAGCAGTTATATAATTATGAATAAATAGATATTATATTATATGACCACAATTTAGAGTATTTTAAAGTATTTTTGTGTACTTTGCTCAATAAAATGTAGTCGCTTTAATCATCACTTTCATTTAAATGAAAAGATATTGGTGATTGACAAATCAACTTTTTAATGTGTGGACCTAATATTTACCTATATATGATTTTATCTCGATTTATCACTTTGTGTATATAATTTTATTTTTTGATAAAATACAATGAAAATTAGATTTTTATAGATATTGTTAGAAGTTTATGAAGTTTTATTTTTAAATAGCTTACAGTATTTTTAAGATTATGAATAAATAGTATACAGTCGATATATTTAGTTTTATTTTACCTCTTCTAATTGTGATGAGCAAATAATATATAAAAATATAAATAAAAAACATTTTAAACTAACAAGGTCCATTGATTAAATGTAATTTATTCTTGAAGATATTTCATTTTTGTTTTTTTTATTTGTTGAAAGTAATATAGAGCTTAACTTAATTTTTTTATACTTCCAATTAATAGTAGGTAACATTAATAAAATATTAAGTGAATTATTCTATTGCGTCTCTTTTTTTTTATTTAATTAAATTGACATATCAACAGCGTACCCAGCGAGAACTTGCCAACAAAACAATATACGCTGTATTGTTTTGTTGGCAAACAAAAAGAAAGATCTTATTTTTCGTTTACAGTTAGTGTTTAGTATTTTAATAGATTTTGACATTTGACGTCACGAAGCTTATGACTCCCCCCTTGTCACACAGTGTCACATTTATTTGACAACCCACTCCCCCCTTAACGCGTGACGTAATTCATGGATGGCCCCTTAAAGTTTATTTATTTCAATACGAATAAGAAAACACGGTATTTGGTACAACCGTACAAAATGGTTACACTTGTCATAACCACAGTTGCTCGCGAAGCTCCATGTTTAACAGGGTAAAGATGAAAATGTAGCGGCCTTGGATTATTTATATAAGCGCAAAACTCGAGAACGGCTCGGCCAATTCAGCTAAAAAAATTTTCGTATGTTCCTTAAGGTACACGGAAGGTTTTTATAACGAGAAAAAATATAAAATAAGGTAAGCATATATATGAAACTACTATCTATAAAATATAAAGAAAATGCATGAATCTATAAACGTTCGCTTGTATGATATGCGTGTTCATTAAATGTTCTATCGTGACTATATATTTATTTTTTATTATGTTTTCATGTAGGTAACAAAAATAACTATTAAATATATACATAATTCACGAATACAAGTAAATTTAATCATTTATTATCTACATCGGCAAGTGGTGAGCAATATGGTAAGAGCGCGAAAATTTGTCCTTATAAAGATATTCTGTGGGATGCCAAAACGAGATGACTATGAAATAGTAGAATTCGACCTACCTCCCCTTAAAGACAAGGAAATTCTCGTCAAAGCTGAGTGGTTAAGTGTTGACCCTTATTTGCGAAACGAGTTTGTTCCATCTGTCCCTTGCGATCAGGTTGGTGTCCAAATTGGCATAGTTCAACAGACCAGAAATCCTAAATATCCTATAGGTACAAGAATTGTGTCCCATATGGGCTGGTGTGACTACGCAATATTGCATGAGCCTAAGAACGAACTACAAGATTTAATGTATGAATTACCCGATTTAGCGGGCCTCCCAACTGAATTGGGGCTCGGTGCAGTAGGAATTCCAGGTTTGACAGCTTATTATGGCTTTCTAGAAATTTGTAAGCCTAAGCCGGGTGAAATCGTTGTAGTAACAGGTGCTGCTGGAGCAGTAGGCTCTATCGTGGGACAGATTGCGAAGATAAAAGGTTGTAAAGTTATAGGATTCGCCGGAAGTGATGATAAAGTACTATGGTTGGAAAAGGAATTAGGTTTTGATAAAGCTTTCAACTATAAAAGTGCGGACATTTCCGCTGCCCTCAAACAAGCCGCGCCGAATGGAGTTGACTGCTATTTTGACAATGTTGGTGGAGAAATAAGCAGTATCATTATGGGCCAAATGAACGTGTTTGGGAGAGTTTCTGTATGCGGTAGTATCAGCGTCTACAATTGCCTTCCCTCAGACTATCCCGTGGCTACTACCATTCAACCTAATATAATATCTAAACAATTAAGAGTTGAAGGTTTTAGAGTAAATCGATGGCTTGAGACGAAAGAACTCGTTATTGAGGCATTCAATAACCTTATTAAGTGGATAAAGGATGGAAAAATCAAGTGCAGAACCCATATAACTGAAGGTTTTGATAATGCGGTCAATGCATTTGTTGGTATGTTATCGGGAGAAAATTTTGGCAAAGCAGTCGTTAAAGTCTAATAAAATGTTCTACCACCAAAATTATACAACATTATTTTTACACAATTTCCATTTTATTATGAAAAACATATTTTATTGGGGCATAATAAGAATATACAAAAATTACAATAGTTAAGTATAATCAAATAAATAAAATGTTTTTTTTTTTATCTTGAATAGAAGTTTTTATTTAATAAACGTAGTTCCTAACTTCAACGCTCTGAGCATCATCATTGCTCCACAGCGTCTCTACTTCGTATGAGTCATGAGGTGCAATGAAGTGGTCGCGTCTCTCCCAGCGTATTCTCACTACACGTGCTATTTCTAACCAAAGTAGAGCTTCAAGCACTAGTAAAAAAACGATATATAAGTAAATATTTACATACATACATAAAATAAGGACAATTAGGTTTAGATTATTTAGTGACATTTTTTGATTGAAAATGAGCGTCTGCTATCTGGGATATGACCTAAAGGAACCTGTGGTTTAGGTTAGTTTTAAATTTTAGAATTTGAAATATATAATATAATACTTTAATACAATGTTAAAATAGAATATTTTTAATACATTCTTTCAATGTACGAGTATTTCATGGCTAAATGTTGGTTAACGTTTAGCCAGCGTTAGCCATGTAAGCAGAAAAACATTTTTTTTAGTTTTAACATTTTACGAATTGTCATACATATTGATATATAAATTTAGAACTCACTAAATAGTAAAGAGAACGCTGTTACAAAGAGTGGGTTAACATTTCCGTTTATAACGGCCACAGTGTACAGTAAAGCTCCAGCTGTGGGCGCCTGGCGCAAAAAGATACCTCTCAGAGTTGCTCCCAGCCAAGGCAAATATAGATATTCACTCAGTGGAGAACGCTGAAACATTATGGTATATTATTAATAATAAATATTTTTAAAAAAGAAAACACATAGAAATTACAAATATAACCAATTATTAATTATTATTTATATACTTAATTATTAGTCTACAAATCATGTCTGCGTGGAATTGTGGCAAGAATACTGAGATAATCGTTGGATCACTATTACAAGGTTCTATGTTACAATTTTAGTAGGTACTTATTTAATTATTAATGCTACTAGGTTCTGTATGTCATTAGCTAGAGTTTTGCAAAAACAAACCACTAAATAGCGGCACTATAACTACAAAATATTCAATTTTATATAGTTTTATGTTGTTTTTTTATACGGTAACAAAATAACGAAGTTCTATGTAAAAATTACTAAACTTCATTAAAATTAACATAGAACCTTGTAATAGTGAGCTAACGAATTATGACAATCCAACGCGTCAACGCAAGTAGCGTCAGTCAGACAGACAAAAATCCTACAAACTATAGATTCGGCCTCTGTATCGATAATAATCTCTATTTCAATAAGATATTCCAAAAAATATTTAATGTACAGATTCGGCTTGGTTACAATTTTATTATATGTATAGATTTGGTAAGAAATAAAAAATGTTTCGGCATTTTTGACCAATCAAGGTAATATAGGGAATAATTTCAAGTTTCTTTAAGGTACTTACCGACTCTTCTATATCTATGTACGAATATGTACATATATAGAACTATAGAATAACAAAAACAAACCTACCCAACGGGAATCGTACATTTTTCCGAGTTAAAAACTAATTTATGTGCGATTTCAGACTATAATCTATCTTTGTGTCAAAATTTATCCAGATCCGTTCAGTCGTTCTGGCGTAATTGAATACCAACATCCAAACATCTAAACTTTCACATTTACAATATTAGTAAGATAGTCTTCTCTATACCAATTAATAAAACGTACCGTGGGGACACATCCGAGAGAAGCGAGGTTAAGTCGCTAGTAATAAATAAATAAACTTTATGGGTTGTTTATGTGCATGTTGTAAAAATATGTAATATCTATTAAAAATTTAACTACTTTTTGAAATAATAGTTCATGAAAAACGCGTTAAAATTTTAATATTTAACGAAGTCTTCTTTGATTTTTAAAATAACTTCATACATTACTCTTACAGTTTCTTAAATGGTTAAAGCACGTAAATATGTGGTCAAAAGGCGATTTGAAGGAAAGCCAAAAAGAGATGATTTTGAAATTGTGGAATATGAATTACCTCCTTTGAAAGAGAATGAAATTCTTGTTAAAACCGAATGGATAAGTGTTGATCCAGCTCATCGATACTCTAATGCATTCATTCCCATTCCTTATGATCAGTTTGGCTTTCAAATTGGGAAAGTCCTAGACACCAAAGACGCCAAATATCCAGTCGGAACAAAAGTCGTATCACATATAGGATGGTGTGATTACGCGATACTAAAAGAATCTCAATATGAGTGGAACATAATATATAAGCTCCCTGAGTTAGAAGGCCTTCCGACAGAATTGGGTATTGGTGATATAGGAATGCCGGGTGCGACTGCGTATTTTGGTTTTCTCGAAATTTGTAAGCCTAAAAGTGGTGAAACAGTAGTTGTAACCAGCGCAGCTGGTGCTGTGGGCTATATAGTTGGACAGATCGCAAAGATCAAAGGTTGTAGAGTCATAGGATTTACTGGCTCTGATGCTAAAGTGAAATGGTTGGAAGAAGAAATAGGATTCGACAAAGCTATCAATTACAAAACCGCAGATATTCCGAAAGCTCTTAAAGAAGCTGCTCCGAATGGAGTGGATTGTTATTTCGATAATGTAGGTGGCGAAATTAGCAGCATAATTCTGTCTCAAATGAATTTATATGGTAGAGTTTCTATATGCGGCAGTATTAGCACTTATAACTTTGCTCCAAACGAAATGCCTAAAGCATTATTGACTCAGCCAAGCATTTTACTAAAAGAATTATTACTAGAAGGCTTTATTGTGACTCGCTGGAGTCGAGAAAAGTGCTGGCCACAAGCATTTACTCATATTAAAAAGTGGATCAAGAGCGGGCAAATCAAGTACAGAAGTCACATTACTGTAGGTTTTGACAATGTGTTTGATGCGTTTATAGGTATGTTAGATGGAGAAAATTTTGGTAAAGCATGTGTTAAGATTTAATTTTCGACTTACCTAAACTTAGCAAACTGGCTTATTATTATTATTTTGCAATGGGTGAATTTCAATACATAATGATATATAGATTAAAATAATTACCACGTTTGATGAATTCCATATAAGTAAAGTACTGATAAGAATAACTAAAGCATCAGATGCTTCAATACACCACATCACTCCTGAAATCAAAATTTTATAATTATCATATTATACAGATAATACGTGCTTTTTATACGTGTTTTCTTTTATTTAAAATATTTTTAATGTGTAACTTTCTTATATACTTATAAATAATGTCCTCCTAAACGATATTTCGGTCAAACTAACTAATGAGAAAAGATTCAGAAAACAAAACTATATTAGAAAATATTTTACTTTCTATTTGTTTACTATGGTATGGATGTAAGACTGATATGTCTGACATGTGTTATACGAAATAGAATATAACACAAACTTCGTTTGTTAGGGACGCTTCTAAAAAATACGTGTTTATAAAAACCGACAATTTAAAGTATTATATAACTTAGTCTCTTCTGTGACCATGATTGCCGTAAAGTATTCGAAACGTTGGAAACCAAAAACCAGAATAAATCCGCAAAAAATCCGAAAAGATTGTTTTATTTAAAATGTCAAATATTCGCAAAGTGTAATAAGTTTCAGGCAGCCCATCCTCTGAAGATGGAACAAAACGGACGATGTGAAACTTAGGAGCAGAGCCATACATAAATAAATCACGCGAGCAGAACCGTCTGATAACGCTAGTAATGATAGCTGGTTATCCGGGTCAACATATAGGATACTTTTTACCGCGGGAAAATGTCTCATTTCTGAGAAAAAATACAAAAACTGCAACGTAAGAGTATATATACTAATATGTAAAACCAAAAAATTTGGTTTTTGGTCATCTGAACGCGGGCGGAGCCGCGGGCAATGCTAGTATATAAATAAATAAATAAATATTTTGGGACATTAACTACATAATATAATAAAGAGGTAAAGTTTGTGAGTTTGTGACGTTGTAGGGGGTAATCTCTGGATCTACTGAACCGATTTAGATGAAATTTGGTAAGAAGATAGTTTGAGACCCTGGGAAAGACATAGGATACTTTTATTTTTTATTCCGGAAATCATTCTTTAAGGGGGTGAAAATGGTGATGAAAGTTTGTATGAGGAATCAACCTAGGGACGAACCCGAGCGAAGCGAGGGTGAGTCGCTAGTATTATATAAAAACTTGCCGACTTTCAGGCCCTAACAAGCCACAAAAGCATTATCTATGTACGTATATAATTTTATTTGTATGCATTTAATAAGATGATGAAACTTACTTGTAACATCGATATCGTCAATGTAAAGTTTTTCGTCTTTACTCATAACCATAAAGTGCAAGTCATTGGGTAATGGCTCCTCATCGAAGGTCACCACTTCTAGTTTTATATTCGAAACGAAACCTAACGAAAAGCAAACAAATGCCATGAAGGTAGCTGATAAACATTTTTTTGAGGCTACAGGACGTAATTGTTCTCCTCGCACAAATGATTTATGCATCACATATTCCATGCTTGTGTAAATATAGTCTATTAAGGCCCCTATAACAGGTACGCCAGATTTTGAATACGTCATGTGCTTCGGGACATTTGGGTTATCACCACTAGCCATTTTAAAGATAAACACGTTTAATTTTCTTGTTTAAGTAATAATAATTATTATTCTAGAAACGGATACATTAATTTTGACATAAAGTTGACAATATATTTTCTATTTAAAAAAAAACTAGATCATGAGTTCGTCTTTTACCGGTAAAAGAAGAAAAGACTGTGAAGGCGCAAATACAAACATGCCACAATGCCCATATAACGGTTTTCCATCCATAATAATATTGAAAGCAAATAAACTATTTGTTTAACTTTCATAGTTACTCTGATTTTGTTAAAATTGTAAAAGGAAGTATTAATTTGAACCTTTCAGAAAGATATTAGCAGCTCTTTTTAATTAATCTGCCTCTTAAGAATTTACTGGCAAAACATGCTTGTGTTAAAAAAATATACCTAATATTTATATAATACTTGTACATAAGATACGATGAAAATAACTTGTAAATAAGATGGAGCTAGAGGAAATGATGCATTACAAGTACCTACTTACTGCAAATTTCCTTTCATTTATGTACAAAAACCGACACGAGCGGAACAACAACCGCTTGCAAGCCTACACAAGCCAAGTCAAACACCCTCTCCACATTTATGAACTTGGGATGGCTTTTCTGACCTTCCCGGATCCGGCAAAAAAGACAAGATATTCATTAGTAACTAAAATTATTGCACAAGGCGTAGTATATTGAGTTACGAATTACGACAGCTGTTTTATAGTATGAACATGTTTTATATTAACTACCTCAGTGGTTAAATGGTTAGCATGTATGGCTATAGATCCATATGTCCAGGGTTCGAGTCCCGGGTTGGGCCAAGTTTAATTACTAAGTTTTTCCGTTAAGATATTCTCAGTAACAGACCGGAGTTGAGAAGTTGCCGGTGTTCCATCCCCGTGGTCCCAGGGTCTCAAACTATCTTCTTACCAAATTTTATCAACAACCAAATTTTACAACCTCACAAAGTCACAAACTTTACCTCTTTTAAATATTAGCAGATAGGTACAGATTATTTGAAATTTTGTAAAGTTTTAATTGTTTTTGTTTAAATCCTACTAATATTGTAAAAACGAAAGTTTATGAGGATTTATGGATCTACTTGTTACTCTTGCACACAAAAACTACTGAACGGATTTTTATGAAATTTTACACTAATAGGTATAGTTTTAGTGATTTATAAAGGTATTAAAAAAATTAAACTACGCAAGTGGAGCCGCCGAAAACCCCTATTAAATTATATATGTGGTAGCGTGTTAAATAATGAACTCTACGTAGTTGTAGTATATTTAGATCTATACTGACTGTAAAATAATAAATTCAAACATTACTTGTTAAATCCAAACTTCCTTAACACACATTTTTTAAGAAAATATACAAGTTATGCTATTGTAATTTCGTACCAATTTCTATTTTTGGAAATATTAAAGAACAAGAGGGAAATATTTTAAGACAGATGACAAATTATTTCGATTCTTCATTTTGTATATCAAACTTTAATTGTTGCTAAAATCTATATCTTATAAATTTTAATAATTAAAAAAAATAAAGATAATATTCTAGTAATCAAGAATGTAACCTTTTACCTTTACCTTGCGACCAAATAAGGAAATGTAATGCGATTCGAGTTGCAACAACAATATGATAACGAGGAAGTCAATATTCACACCACAACATCTAGATACATACCATTCTAGTATCTTTCTAGTATAGTAATAAGTGACACCTAATATAAGTAAGGTAATCAATAAAAAAAATAGATACAAATTCTACTCTTCTTCTCTTCGTCCACATCCCGCGCGGGTGCGTTCTTCCATTTTCCTCTATCACCATTGCACATAGCCTATCCACATTTTTCTCGACCTACATTTAGTTATTGAATAAAGCTTACCAACTAGAAACATACACAAACTTAATTACTAAAATAACATATACAACACATTAATATACTCTTTCATTCGAATGAGTTTGGAGATTACGTCAACCACCGGTACCTTTTATTTTTAACGTTGGGAAATGCATTTACGCACGAGGTGTGGGACTCACCGGCGTAATAAAGCCAGTACTACCCACTAAAACCCAACAAAACTTTCCCCCGTCTTAATGGGGCGTCGCAGGATCGCTTACGCATTCAACTACGACGCCTACGACAACCCTCATGGTACACCGCCCTCCGAAGAGTGCCACCTCCCACCACCCACCGAAGTGGGCCACCTCCCTGTGCGTTTCTTGGCTTCGCGCCCAGCTGTATTGCCGGGCACTACTGAGACCCCCCACCACGACAAGGTGAACGCACGTTGGGGGGGGGAAACCACCGGTACCTAGCTCAAGTGCCCCTCAATTGTCCCTATTTTAAATGACCTATGCAATATACTTAGTTTGCCATAGTCTGCACATAAGTATATTATAATAAAATTCTAACTGAGTCGAATCTGTACATTAAATATTTTTTGGAAAACTTATTGAAATAGTCATTATTATCAATAAAGAGGTTGAATCCATAGTTTTTAGAATTCTTGTCTGTCTGTCGGTTACCGCATCACGCGAAAAATTACTGGAGGATTTTGATGAAATTTGATACGATGATAGCTGGTTATCCGGGTTAACATATAGGATACTTTTTACTGCGGGCAAATATCTCATCTCTAAGAAATCTATACTAAACGTTAAAACTTATAAATATAAAAAATATAATAAATTATTTCTTATATTGTGTTTAACTTACCGAACCAGCACGAATAAATATCTTTTTTATATACTCGTACTACTCTAATGGCATGTACAACATTTTTTGAATAGGCGTCCATTTTACGTAAATATTATAGCGTAAATATTATTACTAAAAAAAAATCCAAAAAAACTCTAAAACGGTAGGTTTCATATAAACTTTCACCCGCTATTTTACCTCTTTATGAAAAGAATTTCGAAAAATGCTGAAACACGTAGGTATTTAATTCATTGTATTGAAGAGCATTTATATCAAGTTTCAAGTAATATTGATCATAAATTTTTTTCTCATTGTATTATAACGTATTTTCCCGTGGGAAAGAGCAGCCTATGTCACTCTCCAGCCTTTCAACATCTCTACACAAAAATTACACCAAGCCGCCGGATTTCTCTTAGTCCGGAATAGGATGATAAGTATTAAAAGATCAGAAAAATTAACGAAAACAAATATGTATGCGCAGGAGATATTATAGTGCTCAAGTGTACGCGCAGACACAAGTGCACTCTCTATTCCTATCACTCTCATACTCCGGTGGGACAACCACTCGACACGACCGGTGAGAGTTAAGGCGCAGGACCGACGGCTTTACGTGCTCTCCGAGGCACGGGGGTGAAACACCGCCAACTTCCCAACTCCGGGCTGTTACTGAGACATACTATACAGGAAGACTCAATAACTAAACTTGGCCCGACCCGGGACTCGAACCCAGGACCTCCGGGTGTGCAGCCGTACATGCTAGCCACTACACCACCGAGGCAGTTAGATATAAGAATAAATAGAATAAGTATAATATGTAACCGGTAATTTATTCTATTTTCAAAAATCATTACTCACCGCGCTGCCAGTTGCATGAAAGAAGTTACATTAAACTTAAAACAATAATGCACACAGAAAATCAAAGAACTAAAAGGAACAAAGAAACACCATAATACTATGTACATAAAATCAAAAAATCAAAATCAAAATATTTTATTCAGCATTAAATTATTACAATTTTTTACTGAACGTCATGAGTCTACTACATAAATAACAATAATCAATAAATATAACTTTTTATTTTTATAAATACTTATAAATAGAAATTTTAGTAAGCCTTATATAATATTAGTCTTTAAAGAAAGAAAAAAAAATATAAAAAAACTTGACCAAAAGCCGCGTATCCAGATTGCCATTTTATATCATTTTATCTGTGGACAGTTTATCTTTCACTGTGCTACACAATAGACATTATCTGTTAACATTTAACTATGCTTTATATTTTGTCATCTATGCTAATTAGTTTTGTAAACAAACGTAGTAAATAAGTATTGTGGTAGAAATGAAAGTAACATAATAATAACAGTATATTAAGGAAATATTTGAAAACAAAACAAAGTAACGAAAACAAGGAAGAGAAAAGGCGTCTTTTGGATTGCGGAGCAATTTTTCACCCGGCTTATTGGTGGTGAGGACAATTATAGCTTGTGAAGGAGACTTAGATGTTGTTAAATTGTCTATATACTTAATTCCGAATTCGTTGGAACATTCAATACGATGACGAGAGCCATTTGAAGCTATAACTACATAGTAAGTACATACTACATATGTATGTACATCTCACGGCAACGATGAAACGTGTATGTCTTCGACAGCATAATACCACATGAGTCAAAAAACGAAACAGAGTTTCTAAGGAGCGGACAAAACCTTTACCTATTCTAGCAGGGTTGGCACATGAGCAAATAATTAAATGAACAAAACGTGGCTCAGCTTTAGTATACCGGTTCACCAGTAGACTCTTGATTTTTTTTTTTGTGCAAAGTACATATTATCTTGAGTAATCCCACAAAGTTTCAAGTGGAGGAAACAAATACTTTCGGAAATTAAAAATATCAAAGTTTGATAAATATAACCTCAATTCTGCACTATATTATTTTGAGGAAGGACTTTTGAATCGACATCCGCTTAAATCTATATATTTTAGGGGTGGGGAGGGAGGGTGTAGATCACCCCCCGGTAAAGGAAAAGTGGAGGAAAAGAACATTTTTTAATGAATTTTTAAAAATCTCATTTTGAGTTTATGTTTTGTTGAGTGACTACTTCAATTTTGCGTGAAATTTAGAGTTTATGGCACTCGCCAGCCGCTACCGCGGCACGCTTGCTTCGCTCGCTCGGCTCTTTTGTTGTGGTAACTTTTTTTTTTTAACGTTGGGAAATGCATTTACGCACGAGGTTTGGGACTCACCGGCGTAATAAAGCCAGTATTACCCACTAAAACCCAACAAAACCTTCCCCCGTCTTAATGGGGGTCGCAGGATCGCTTACGCATTCAACTCCGACGCTTCGACGGCAGGTCTGCCGAAGCAGACCACAACAACTATGGGGTTGCTCCGAGGTCCACTCTGCTATCAGAGAAGTACCAGAAACAACCCACATGGTACACCGCCCACCGAAGAGGGCCACCTCCCACCACACACCGAAGGGGGCCACCTCCCTGTGCGTTTCTTGGCTTCGCGCCAAGTTGGGTTGCCGGGCACTACTGAGCCCAAACCACGACAAGGTGAACGCACGTTGGGAGGGGGGGTTCGTTGTGGTAACTGGTATAATCTAATCTAGATTCTAGCTAAGATCTGACGAGAATTACCTAAGTTCTAACCTAACTAGACACTGAATGACTTATGACAGTTGATACTTGCTACAAATAAAAACTTTTTAACAAAAAAATAAAAACCGACTTCAAACAAAAGCACTAAAAAGTAAAAAATAACTGATTGGTAGTTTTCATTTACTATACATACCTAATCAAATATTTTCGAAGTCGGTGTGCTTTGCTTTGTATGGGCTGGCACCGATTTCGAAAATATTTGATTAGGTATGTATTTAATAGGTAGCCTACCTATTAATTAAATTAATTACTTAGCCAAAGCACACCGACTTCGAAAATATTTGATTAGGTATGTATAGTAAATGAAAACTACCAATCAGTTATTTTTTACTTTTTAGTGCTTTTGTTTGAAGTCGGTTTTTATTTTTTTGTTAAAAAGTTTTTATTTTTCCCTTTTTAGTGTAGACAGTACTAGCAAAGTAAGGATCCTAACGTGTTAGGCTTGTCAAATCAAACAAAATAAGCCCAAACTCAAAGTATCTACTATTAGCCGTTGAAGAGTTCCACCTATCCACTTTCTGGCCTTGCCATCAGATCAGGTCAACAACACCGAACCACTGTACTATCAACGGAAATAGAAATACTTGCATTGTTTCAAGTCAATATGACAATTAGAAGTAGGTTAAATTCATTATTAGTTGTTTTTCCACCCTTAGGGGTGGTATTTTTATTTGAAATTTAAATGGGACTAATCTGGAAGTATACCCTTTCAAACAAAACAAAAATTGTCCAAATCGGTTAATAAATGACGGAGTTCTGAGGTAACAAACATAAAAAAAAACATACAGTCGAATTGAGAACCTCCTCCTTTTTGAAGTCGGTTGAAAATCACAAAATGGTTGCCAGAGTGTTTGCGAAAATAACTTTAGATGAACACAAAATCAAAATTTTCGTTGTTATTGACCTAAAAAAATCTGAAATAACTGAGAAATTGCTTAAACCAAATAAAATATTGAGAATTTTCAAATAAGAATTAAAATACGCGTCAACTTATTATTTGCAAAATTAAAACTCCCTATAATGGCAACACTTCTGTCTTGCTAAATCAAAACACATAATTAAAACTCCCTAAAATAGCAACACTTCTGTCAAAATCCAACTTATAAATGCGAGCTGGAGTAAAATTTCCGCATTGTAATACTTTTTCATTAGGATAGTTTTTATCCCGGAAAACATCTCTTAAGGGGGTGGAAGTTTGACTGGGGAATCAATAATTTGGAATATATATCTTTATTTTTTTAAATACTTACCTAATTTCCTATACCTATGTATGTACACTGTACACATGTATATAACAGTATTTTCGATGCTAACCGTTAAAACGCACCTAGAGACGAATCTGAGCGAAACAAGGGTAAGTCGCTAGTCTATACAGAATGGAAAATCTATCATTTCTCAAGTAAGGGATATATATTTTTTAAGTTTTATAATACTTACCTACTTTTCTATACCTACGGGGTACATTGTTATGATATTAGACTTGTTAAAACGTACCTAGGGACGTATGAAACAAAACAAAACAAAACGTCGAAATTATTATTTATAATAGATATAAATATGTTGATTCACTTTTAATTAAACTTAACCAAAACAAATTTGTATTGATGTCCGTCCTCCTTGACGTATCCTTCAACGGCGAACCTTTTTAGAAAATAATTTTTAAAAAGTGCAAATATAGGTGGCAAATTCAAAGTACAGAAATGTACAATATTAATCAAAACGAAAATTATCATACGAAAAAGTATTATCATAACAAAGCTATTAGCGATTTTGTAGCTATATATAGTCATTTTCTGTGTATTGTGACGTGGCGAGCGTTTAAAGTATGTATGTATCGGTGTGATTTTTTTTATACTAAATTTTAGTTTTTTGGGGCTGGATATTTTAAAACGATGTTATCTATTGTAAAAAAATCACACATATTCCCAAATGAGTGTAGGCATTTCGTGTGAAACATACCTATTATGTAGACGTCTAGAGTCTAGACATGTTTCACATGAAATGTCAAACCCCGATCATTAATAGAAAAAAGCAACTTTATCTATCTATACATATAATAAAACTGTAACTTAGCCGAATCTGTACATTAAATATTTTTTGGAAAATCTTATTGAAATAGATATTATTATTAGCGATACAGAGGCCGAATCTATAGTTTTTAGAATTTTTGTCTGTCTGTTACCGCATCACGGAATAACCACTGGACGGATTTTGATATAATTTGGTATGATGATAGCTGGTTATCCGAGTCAACATATAGGATAGTTTTTACCGCGGGAAAATATCTAATTTATGAGAAAAAATTCAAAAACTGCATTGTAAATACCTAAGAATTTGGTTTTTGGTCATCAAACGCGGGCGGAGCCGCGGGTAATGCTAGTTATAAATATAATTTCAATGACCTTTAATAGTTAAAGCTTGTTTTTTTTTAAATACCTAACCAATAATTCGATACATTAATAAAAGTTGCTTATATATATTTAATTTACCCAAAAATATAAAGGTCAATTTACATCTCTTGATATACGTATCTTATCTATAACTATACTATATATACTAATATTATAAAGAAGTAAAGTTTGTGAGTTTGTGACGTTCTAGGGGGGTAATTTCTGGATCTACAGAAACAACATACTATGAACGTTTAACAGTTAACCGTTTTGGCGGCTCATAGTAACAAGTGTATTTTATAAGTTGGTCGACTATTACTCGTAAACTTGTAAAAACTGCTTAGCTGTGATAGTTTTTTTATTATTATACAGCTACTTTCTTTCTTACTACTAACTTGATTTTTTTTTACATATCCTAAAACAACCATTGGCCCCATAATCGGACACTTGACACTAACAAAAATTAGAACTTTAACGCTTAATATTTCACAAACGGATCCCTTAATGAAAAAACTGTTTTTACAAACCCGCAATATTTTTGTAGGACCTACCCAACGACATGCCATGCCATGGGGTAGACGAGAAAAAAAAACACCCCCACTTTACATATTGTAGAGCAGGGACCTTAAAGAATGAAGCATTGTCTGTTTCTTATTCATATATCTATATATATTATATTTACGCGTGTTTACCCGTATTTTTTTCATTATGTGGATACATGTTAAGTTATACCAAAATTTCGTCGATTTATTATATTTTTGGAATAAAATATATTTTTAATAAGTAAAATAATTTACGTATAGGAAATAAAGACGTGTGAAAAGCAAAATAATGCTCTGTTTTATTAATTATATATGATTTAATAAATACACATGCCAAAACCGGGGCACGTCACTAGTTTAGACAAAACAGCAAGTCATAGTTGTAAACAAGTGATACAAAAAAAGTGATCGCAGCGGGCCGTTGTTATTCTAAAGCGATCTTCGTCCGACGCCGGACGCGACAACTCTTCACTCTAGTATACAGAAGGACGGACTAAAGGTTGATTTATTTTTCATAATTAGCAATTTTTTGTTAAAACAATTGTGTATGGTGTGTTTCTTAATAACTAAAAAATATTTACGAGTTAGATTGACATTGCCTCAGCGTTCAAATACCTATATTAAATAAGTATTTTTTTTCTGTTTTAACTTTTTTTAACATTGCCTTCCTATTAATAGTATGTTTTTTTCCGTAATGGCTTAGAATTGTAATACTATGTTTATGTTTCGGCTGATTTGGTGAGTCTTTTGGTGTTGACAGCATCACCGGTCTAACAAATTCCGACTATGTCATTTAATTTATTATTTACAGTTTTTAGTTTTAGAAAATTTAAGTTTTATTCAAACCGATAATTTTTATACTCCATTCGAATCAAGACGTAGATATATTTCATCAAAATCGGTCAAGTCGTTAATAATTACGAGGGAACATAGGGCATACAACTCAAACACATAGCCTGCCTTTTGGACTGCGATTCAGTCGAGTAAAAACAAAAACTACTTAAATATGATACGATTACCCAGATAAGAAATTAATTTATTATTAAAATTGGTCATATAGGTACTTATAGCTTACGCATTCAGTTTACTAATAATAATATATTATCTATTATAATTTTCAGAACTAGTACTACAAGAACACGGTCAACATGGTGAAAGCACTTAAATATGTCGTTAAGAACCATTTCACTGGTGCTCCTAAACGATCTGACTATGAAATAGTAGAATACGATCTACCTCCTCTACAGAACGGGGAAATATTACTAAAGACAGAGTGGGTTAGCGTGGATCCATATTTGAGGGCGTATAATTCACTTCAAAAGGTTCCATACGACCAGTTCAGTTTCCAAGTTGGTATCGTCAAAGAAACTAAGGACCCACATTTTCCAGTGGGAACTAAAGTAGTCACTCACAATGGCTGGTGTGACTACTCGATAGCGAAAAATATTAAAGATGAGAAGACAGGGGGGCAGAAAATAACTAAACTACCAGATTTACAGGGATTACCAGAGTCTTTAGGAATTGGGGCCGTAGGAATGCCAGGGGCAACTGCTTATTTTGGATTTCTTGAAATCTGCCAGCCTAAAGCTGGTGAAACAGTGGTCGTTACCGGTGCTGCCGGGGCTGTAGGAAGTCTTGTAGGACAGATCGCCAAAATAAAAGGTTGTAAAGTCATCGGTTTCACGGGATCAGATAAAAAAGCGCAATGGCTGGAAAAAGAGTTAGGATTTGACAAGGCCATCAATTATAAGACTGAGGATGCACAAACTACCCTAAAAGCAGCCGCTCCAGATGGTGTAGACTGTTACTTTGACAACGTTGGGGGAGAACTTAGCAGTATTATTATTGGGCAAATGAATGTACGAGGCAGAGTATCAGTCTGTGGTAGCATAAGCTCTTATAATGCTGACCCATCTAAAATGCCGAAAGCGACAATTTTGCAACCATCTTTAGTTTTCAAGCAGTTAAAGATGGAAGGATTCATAGTATGGCGTTGGGTGGACCGTTTTCCGGAAGCATTTGAACAACTAGTAGCGTGGATCAAAAACGGTCAGTTGAAAGCTCCAGAACATGTGACTGAGGGTTTCGATAAGCTCTTTGATGCATTTACCGGTATGTTAGCAGGAGAGAATACTGGTAAGGCCGTGGTTAAAATTTAAGTTATTATTTTTCTTCTAATTTAATTTGACTTATTTTTTAACTCTGATATTTAAAAAAGACATTAAGGACGTAAATGTTTGCTTATGACAAAAAATATTATTCGTAATATTAAGCTTCTTAATAAAATGAAATAAATAAAAGAATATAAAATAATAATTATTTTAATATCTAGATATTCTTTGTATGTAATTAAAGTTCCACTATACAACTAGAAGTCGTTTTTTTTTTTGTAAAAATAAACTGTTCAATTTTTACAAGCAGAATTACTAATATTACGCTTATGGGTGACTCGATTTGCCAAGCATGCGCGTTACCACTGGGCTACCACAAACTTTACCCTGTCCTAAAGAAAACGCTACAAATGTTTTACTCGATATTATTGACAATGTAATGTAACGTAATGTAATTCGAGTTACAAGAACAATATGATAACGAGGAAATATTCACGCCACAACATCTACAATCTATATAATATATACTTACCATACATTGTACTATGTATATTAAGAAATATCTCATATAAGAAAGGTAATCAGTAAAGCATTCGAAACATCGGGAGCCAAAAATCAAAACAAATCCGCGAAATTTATATTACATATATCATATGTAGTTTTATTTAAAATCCAACTAAACTTTTCTGTTGCGCATTAGATATCTAATTTTGTACAACATAACATGTATAACATGTACATATGTAGGGCATTAATCGGACGGTTTAATTTTTTTTATTTTCTTAATATTTTGGTATTTTAATACCTACCCCTCGATTTTTTGTTTTTGGATGACCTTGACAAAAAAAAATATTAAAAATATTTTTTAATTTCAAGTTTTCAATCGTGTTTTTAAAACTATGTATATTCGATTTTTTTGAAAATTTTCTATCCATCATGCAACTTTAAGACCGGTCCGGTAGTGGGCTTTCCATTATTACTTAATTTTTTTCGAATTGAAAAAATGAAAAACAATACAAATTAATTTGTAAAAATTTGTATCTTATCGGAGTGTATCTTGAGTATTTGTTTATCAATGACTTGTAACATTTTATAAGTTGACTTAAAATAGGTATAATCTCGTGTACGCGTCACGCCTACTAAGCACTATCTAACTCTTTGCGCTCCTTATTAGATATAGATTATTATGGCTAGCATAGATATCAAATATTATTTAAAAACAAAATTTTTAAAAATTTTGTCCTTTAAGTTTATGACTTCAAATCTCGTTTAGAGGAAAGGAAGCAAGATAATTAATTATAATAAACCTAAATTTGTGAAACCCAAAAAAAATATTTATAACAAAAGAGATCTGACTAAATATCAATTAACCATTTCTAGTGATGGGCCGAATGTGGCTTGAACCGAATACGAACTTCCGCCGAGCATTCGGTGAAATTAAAAAGTTCGGTTCAATTTCACCGCGCTTTCTAAAGTCACTACATGTGTCACTACACGTCGTGACACTTTAATACTTATGTTTCTAAGTGTTTAGTTTGTGAACTAAATACGTGATTCTTAAATTCAATTTACGAATTGTAATTAAGATATTTGTTACAAGAATACTAAAGTTTATTTCGTTTTGTCTATTTCATTAGGCAAAAATATTTGAAAATATTAAATTAAGAAGAACAGAACTAATTAATTTTCTTATCGCCTACGTTAATGTTTACATATTATTATTATCTAAAATAAATGACCATATAAACGGATCGGAATCCGTTTATTATTAATAGAAAAAAAAACCTAAAGTTTAACGTCTTTAAAACGTTAGCAAGTATACAAGAAACAAAAATCTGTAAAATAAGGGGATGAAACGCGTTGAAAAATAGTTTTTCTCAATTTCCGGCTTACTGTGACGTCCTATCGAAAAGTAATCTATACAAAAGTTGTGGTCTATTAAAAATCTACATTTTTTATATTTCACAATTTTTACAATAACCTTAAAGTTTTCGAGTTACTATTTGCAAAAAAAAACAGTTTTTCTATTTTTTCATCCTTTTTTTATTTTAAATTTCTGCAATAAGCTTTTTTATTTTCATGAAACTAGGGGAATGTTATTTTGGAAATATTTATAATAACCAAAAAAAAATGAAATATTTAGCCGTTTCCGAGAAATTAAAGTTTTATGGTCTTGGGAGGCTGAATGTCACACCACACCAACTTTAAGTGGATGTTTACATTTAAAATCAAATTCGTTCAATTTTCAGGCATAGGTCATTTTTTCGTCTTGAACTCTACGTTTCGAAGAAACAAAAACATTGTCGCTGCAAATATCGATCAAAAATTTATAAAATATGGATGAATGCGAAAATAATTATCAATTAAAAATTTAAATAACCCCCTACGCAAATTAATTGTCATTTAACGATTACACTGGCACGCGTGAGCACTTAATCGAGTAATTATACGCCAAAATGTCTTCATCATTTTGGAAAAGAACTGATACTCTTACACTGCTGGACCGATATTAACCAAACATAGCCAAGAACCACCGCAAGGAAACTGGCTTTCAAATAAAAAAAACGCATCGACATCGGTCCATCCGTTTGAGAGCTACGATGCCACAGACAGACACACACATAGACAGACATTGACGTCAAACTTATAGCACCCCTCTTTTTGCGTCGGGGGTTAAAAGAAACAAATATATTCTACGGGAAAAAATACAAAAGAATGGGTATACTTTACGTGACTTCGAATATTTTTTTCAATTTTTTATTTTAAAATTCAAACTAAGATCATCTTAAATTGAAACCATTTTACAAACTTTTTATTTTCGAATAACAAGTAACCATCCAGTCAGTCACGGATATGAGATATACGGATCATGAGATATTTTATAATAATGCAAATAATTCCGTAATAGATTGTTTTTATAATGACTCTTGAAAACTTTAATGAAACGGAAATTCGAATCTTGAGTAATTTTTAAGGGTTTTCCATTTTCGAACCGAAAATTCGAGCCATAAATATTTCAGGAATAAAACATATAGGGTATAATAATGTAATCTTACAATAAGTATCTACATAAAAAAAACACGAAACAAAAATGCTTTAAAATGATTGACTACGTGAAACTAAACGAACACAATTGCAACCTTCCATAAAATATACTGAAAAAATATATTTTTTGACTACCAAAGTAACATATTAGGCACCACCAGCAACACTCAAATAAAAACGAATGCCACCACCTAATTTCAAAACATAATGCATATAACAAAAAAATAATCTATACAACAATTGTTGTAACCAACAACGATTAACGGCGGCGCGGTGATCGCGTCGGTGGGCGACATGCTAGGACCCTCCTCGCTCCTGTCTGCCACTGCCCCCGCTGTCGTCGTCGTCGTTACATGAGTAAAGAAACGGAACAGAGACAAAGCTTCTAAGGAGCGGACAAAATGTAGGTAGGTAATGGTAAGGTAATGTAGGCTGGTAGGGTTGGCACAGAAGCATAAAATTAAATAAACAAAACGTTTATCAGCTTCTTATTAAACAACTATGATATAATTTCTTTTTACAAATTACTTACTCTAAATATTATTATTATTATTTACATATATTTAATATTCTCTCTTCTAACAGAAGGTTTTATTACCATTATACGGGCTTCAACCAAGTATAGTGGTGATAGAATGAGTTGATGAGCTAGATAAGAATTTACGTGTGATACGGCATGTATTGAGAATAATAGCTTTCTGCATTGTATTTATAGTGGTTTTGGGGATGTTTAAAATATTTAAGCTGTTTTGTAAAGATTTAGGTATTATTCCTGTAGTAGATATGACTATTGGTACTATATGAACGGTCTTCACTTTCCATTGAGTTTTTATTTCTATTGCTAATTCCTGATATTTGGAGATTTTTTCATTTATGGTCGATTGGATATTATGAGTATTTGGGACAGCTATATCGATAATATAAACGGCATCCGTATGCTTATTATGGAACGTAATATCTAGCCTATTATAATGAATTGTTTTGTCTGTGAGGTTAGTACGGTCCCAGTATAACTTATAGTGGCTGTTTTCATATACTGTATTTGGATTATATTTGTAGTAAGGTACTTTACTGGGTATTTATTATTATTATTAATTTGATGCGTAATGATTTTTCATAAATAGCGTTATTAATAATTTGTAAGGTTTTATTATTTTATTGTTTGTAATGTTTTTTGCAGGAACATTTTACATAAATTAAAAAAAACATATTAGTCATAATTAAGGAATAAAATATCTTCACGATTACATTTCTTATTATTATTTTTTTGTATTGATATTAGATATATAAAAATTGTATATCAATATTTTGTGTCTGTTTTTTTCTTTGGAACGGTTTACTTCTGCTAAAATTTTATCCTTCGCCTAGGAGCGTATTTTTTTCATAATATGGATACATATTAACTTGTTCCAAAATTTCCTCGATTTATTATATTTTTATTAATTAACTAGCTAGACAAACAGACACAAATTTATCCCAGGAGAACCGAAAATTTTTCCAGGATAAAAAGTAGCCTTTTTGTTATTTTGATGTATGAACTATATTATTGTAAAGTTTCATTAAAATCCAATCAGTAGTTTTTGTGTACTAAGCTGTGTAATTTATTATACTTTTGTTAACTATACCACGGGAACTCTTTCATTTTCCGGGATGGAAAGTATATAAAATGTTGACCGAGGATACCCGTACAAACAAACAGACAAACAAAAAAATTGAAAAAATCTGGATTTGTTCTATTTCTCTTTTTACAACCCCCTGGCTCGGTTTTTAGCATTTTTTTTTTCTATGTACAGACATTCGACCTCTACAGTTTTATTATTTGTATTGATATATTTTTAATAAATACAATAATTTGCTAATAGGAAACAAAGACGTATGGAAAGCAAAAGAATGCTCTGTATTATTATTTGATAAATACACATGCCAAAACCGGGGCACGGCACTAGTTTACATACAACAGCAAGTCACAGCAATAACAACTAACAAGTATGTAATATAAAATAGTGATCGCCGTGGGGCCGTTATTATTCTTAAGCGATCTTCGTCCGACGACGCGACGACTCTAGTCTCTAGTATACAGGAGAGCGGGCTAAAGGTTGGTTTATTTTTCATAATTTTTAGTTAAAACAGTTGTGTATGGTGTTTTTAATAATTAAAAAATATTTACTGGTAAGATTAACATTGCCTCACCGTTCAAATATATATATAAATATATATAATCACTAGCGGCTCACCCTCGCTTCGCTCGGGTTCGTCGCTAGGTACGTTCTAATTAGATATAAATAGTTATTAGCCAGCGTTAGCCATATAATTTTTTTTTTTGTTAATAATATTGACTCGAATATTTATACGGTACTAAAGTCACTCAATTGTTTTGCCTTCCCGGAACCTCTCCACTAACACTTAAACTTTATGGTATGGTATTAAAATTCAAATTGACTTTTAAGTAATATTAGGAATATTTTGTATGGGAGTATAGAAAAGTGTTGTTTTTAGACTTTTTCAGGTAATTTTTTAAATTTTTCTCTCCGTAAGAACCATCCTCGTACTTCAAGGAATATTCCAAAAAAAAAAGGATTAGCGAAATCGGTTCCGCTGATCTCGAGATTTGCGCTTACCAACAAATTCAGCGATTCAATTTTATATTATAGAAGATTTATTTCAGGCAATATTTACAAAAAGATCTTAAATATGTAAACAGAGGCCCCATAGCATAATATATACCTTAAAACTAACATATATATTAATTATAAAAAACATTTAATAAGTTAAAAAATATGAAATAAGTTGATTTTTTTTCTGTTTTAACTTTTTTTTAACATTGCCTTCCTATTAACAATATGTTTTTTTCCGTAATGGCTTAGAATTTTAATACTATATTTATGTTTTGGCTGATTTGGTGAGTCTTTTGGTGTTGATAGCGTCACCGGTCTAACATTTTACATATTTAATTACTTAAAAAACCACTACATTTACCAACGAACTAAAAACAGTTCGTTGACATTTACATACTTAATGAAGTTTGTTTCCACAGTCACTGTTTAGTTTGTTAGACTGGTTTGTTAGATACTTAACTATGTATCTATTTATACAAATACAATATTTGTGTCGGCTTATTTTAATTAATACTGCAAAATTATAACTTTTTTTATTGTTTATTTTTATTAAATAATATTTTATTACTTTTAAAAAGTTTACTTTTTACTTTTAAAAAGTTACAGGTATATTATATGTTTGATTAGATTTTTAACTAATCACAAAAATAATTTTGATTGCGAAAGATCGTAAAATATTTTTATTGCGTAATTTAATTTATTATTAACAGTTTCATTTTAGAATTAAGTTTTATTTTCCCATTCGAAAGATTTTTTTTTTCAAAACGTTTCTAGAGGTACCTAGATATATTTATCAAAATCGGTCAAGCCGTAATAATAACGAGGGAACATATATATATATATATTGGACTTCGCTGCAGTTGGGTAAAACAATAACTTAAAGAACACTTAAATATGTTGCGATTATAGAGATAAGAAATTGATTTATTATTAAAATTAGTCATATACTTACACATTCAGTTGACGAATAATAATATATTATCTATTATAATTTTCAGTACTAGCACTACAAGAAGACGATCAACATGGTGAAAGCACGTAAATATGTCGTTAAGAACTACTTCAATGGTTCGCCTAAGCAATCTGACTATGAATTAGTAGAATACGATCTACCTCCTCTACAGAACGGGGAAATATTACTGAAGACAGAATGGGTGAGCGTGGATCCCTATTTGAGGGCGTATAATACATTTCAAAAGGTGCCGTACGACCAGTTCAGTTTCCAAGTCGCTGTTGTCAAAGAAACTAAGGATCCAAATTTTCCAGTGGGAACTAAAGTAGTCACTCATAATGGTTGGTGTGACTACTCGATAGTGAAAAATGTTAAAGATGAGAAGCTTGGGGTGCCGAAAATAACTAAACTACCTGATTTACAGGGATTACCAGAGTCTTTAGGAGTTGGGGCCATTGGAATGCCAGGGGCAACTGCTTATTTTGGGTTCCTTGAAATCTGCCAGCCTAAATCTGGTGAAACAGTGGTCGTGACCGGTGCTGCCGGGGCTGTAGGAAGTCTTGTAGGACAGATCGCCAAAATAAAAGGCTGTAAAGTCATCGGTTTTGCGGGATCAGATAAAAAAGTGCAATGGCTGGAAAAAGAGTTAGGATTTGACAAGGCCATCAATTATAAGACTGAGGATGCACAAACTGCCCTAAAAGCAGCCGCTCCCAATGGTGTAGACTGTTACTTCGACAACGTTGGGGGAGAACTTAGCAGTATTATTATTGGGCAAATGAATGTACGAGGCAGAGTATCAGTCTGTGGTAGCATAAGCTCTTATAATGCTGACCCATCTAAAATGCCGAAAGCGTCTATTTTGCAACCATCCTTAGTTTTCAAGGAATTAAAAATTGAAGGATTTATGGTATGGCGCTGGGTGGACCGTTGGCCGGAAGCATTTGAACAACTAGTAGCGTGGATCAAAAACGGTCAGTTGAAAGCTCCAGAACATGTGACAGATGGTTTCGACAAGCTCTTTGATGCATTTACCGGTATGTTAACAGGAAACAATTCTGGTAAAGCCGTGGTTAAAATTTAAGTTATTATTGAAGTCAAAACTTCTATGGGCAGGTTTGGATGAGGAGTAAATTCATGTAAGTCGTCATCGACACGGTCACGAGACGTGTTAACGCTAACACTCAGAGTGCCGATAGATGTCAACACCAGATAAATGTAAACAGTTTTAATTTACAAATCTTAATTTAAGATCAAACAATTAATTTGAATATCCAAAAATAGCAACTGTTTGTTTATAGTTTTAAGTTTTCACTTCTATCAGCAGTCCTCATGACTGTTTTTTTTTTCTTCTAATTAAATTGGCCTGAATTTTTTTTACTTTGATATTAAAAAAATGAAAAACGTACCTAATAGTTTTTTTGTAATAAAATTTAATATAATTAATAAAAAAATAATAATATAATTATTTTAATTAGTAGAATAGATGATCATACATGTAAATTGTAACTATATAATTACAAATCCTTTTTAACCGTCTTCAAAAAAAGGAGGTTATCAATTCGACATGTGTGTATGTTATATTATTGGAACTGCAAAATATTCACATACAATAATTAATCTATTAGGACTTTCAAATAAATATACAAAATTTTGTAAGTGTATGTATGTACATATATGTATGTTTATTTGTCCACGTATTTCTTTGAAACTAGTTGTCAGATAGTGAGCATTCTTTTTTTATTTATGTAAGTACTTACAATTATTTTAACTTAGGTAATAGTAAAAATTTTATCAAAAGCGTTTCAGTAGTTTTAATGATATGGACTAAATGTGTAATTTAAAACTGAAATAGTCTCAGTATGTTTTACTTAAAACTAAAAATTACAAAATAAAAAAGTAATATAAAAAAATTTAAAGCCGACGTGAAAAAAAAACTAAAAAGTACTTACTTATTACTGAACGGGGGTATTCATTTACTATAGATACCTAATCAGACATTTTCGAAGTCGGTGCCAGCCGACAATACTTTAAGATATGAATAATATTTAATAGGTAAATTTATCAGAAGGTATGAACTGTAATAATTATAGTTAAAATATTACATCAATTAGTGGTGTATTTATACGTTTTGAAATAGATTTGCTTTGCTTTGCATCGGCTGACACTGACTTCGAAATAAAAATTCTGGCTCTAAATTCCGATTCTAACGTGTTAAGTTTGTCAAATCAAACAAAATAATCCCAAACTCAAAGTATCTATTATTAGGCGTTGAAGAGGTCCACCTATCCACCTTCTGGCCTTACCATCAGATCATGTCAACGATACCGAACCACTGCAATATCAACAGGAATAGAAACACTTGCAAAGTTTCAAGTCAATAAGACAATTAGAAGTAGGTTACATTCATCATTAGCTATTTTTCCACCCTTAGGGGTAATTTTTTTTGAAATTTAAATGGGACCAATCTGGAAGTATACGCTTTCAAACAAAACAAAAATTGTACAAATCGGTTAATAAATGACGGAGTTCTGAGTTAACAATATTAAATGAACTTAAAAAACTTATTCATTAACCAACAGTTCTCAATTAACAATGGCTATCATTTTAGGCCAACACAATTTACAATAGTTTATCTAATCGTTATTTGATAAACTATACAACACAACATGTTACAAAATATAAATAATCACCCAGCTGGGTTCTAGCCAACACAATTTTAAATGGTTTATCGAATAACATATAACAAAATACAAGGCATCATCTACCTGGGCTCACAAAGAGGTGTGACCAAATATCAATGTACAATTTCTTTAAGATAAGTACTTAATTTGGCACGTCATTTCTCTTTTTTTTTTGGATAATAAGTAACCATCTAGTCGGTGATGAGATATTTTATGATAAATATTATTGAAAATGCTCCAATGCTATCAGCTATGTCGGATTTAGAATAGGTAGGTCACTTCTGTACCCTAGCAGACCCGCATGAAGAGTTTCATTCGATCACCAATTTAAACATCCTACTGCTGGGCGCGAACTAAGTTTTGGGTCCCGGGACGCCTCGTGTCTCGAAGTCCCAGGACTTTTTGTAAATTTAGTCGTCTCAGGTCCCTACTTTCGGGTTGACTTGAGACAATTTTTAATACAAATTTATAACAAAGTAAAACTACACTTTGTATAATTGTATGGCAAACTTTTTGAAAATATCCCTCGTATCCAAACGCCAGAATTGAATATAATGGACGTCAAACCTAATACTGAGCTCTCAACTAAGCGAGTTGTTTCAAAGTCAAATAGAACAGACAATAAAAAATCGCAAAAAATGTATCTACCTAAAATTCTAGCAAAAAATCAAGTGCAACGGTAAGTTTGAAGCATTTGTAAGTTTCCTTTATAATTATAAGATTTTACTGCCAATAACTGAATTAGATACTGAATTATATATATATATATGTATATATATATATATATATATATATATATATATATATATATATATATATATTACTATAAATAACGATGTTGAATTGGAAACAAAATATGTTCAATAAATGTAGATTTTTACTAAAATTGCTTTATTAACTATACGTACATCTCGCCAAAAAATAATTTTAATTTTTTTTTATATACAATACTAATACTATACGTCAATCATCTATACTATAATATTATAAAGAAGTAAAGTTTATGAGTTTGTGAATTGTGAGTTTGTGACGTTGTAGGGGGTAATCTCTGGATCTACTAAACCGATTTAGATGAAATTTGGTAAGAAGATAGTTTGAGACCCTGGGAAGGACATAGGATTGTTTTTATCCCAGATGTCAGCCCTTAAGAGGGTGAAAATGGGGATGCAAATTTGTATTGAGAAGCAAGCTAGGGTGAGTCGCTAGTATCCAATACATCAATTAAAATTAACTCTGAGATATTAAATAGACGCGCAAATGAAAACACGACAAGTCACGAGGTAACTGAAATAGCAGACTTCGCGAGTAGCGTAGGCTTATTATAGTCCATTAAAATCTATGGAGGGTAGAGGTAAGGAGTACCTAGCACTAGTAGAGAATAAAAACTTAAAAAAAAACGACTTCCAGGCACTAAAATGTAACCAATAACTGAACGGGGGTTTTCATTTAGAATAGATACCTAATCAGATATTTTCGAATTCGGTGCCAGCCAATGCAAAGCAAATCTATACATATAATAAAATTCTGAGTCAAATCTGTACATTAAATATTTTTTTGTAAAAATCTTATTGAAATAGACATTATTATCGATACAGAGTCCGAATCTATAGTTTTTAGAATTTTTGTCTGTCTGTCTGTTACCGCATCACGAGAAAACCACTGGATAGATTTTGATGAAATTTGGTATGATGGTAACTGGTTATCCGGGTCAACATATAGGATACTTTTTACTGCGGGAAAATATCTCATTTCTGAGAAAAAATACAAAAAACTGCGTTGTAAGAGTAATATACTCTACCTCTACCCTCCATAGATTTTAATGGACTATAGTACACCACAGACGGACAATAATTTTTCATTTTTCCATTTTTAGTGTAGACGTAATATTAAGCAGGTAATTTGTAAGACCCCCCCAACGTGCGTTCACCTTGTCGTGGTGGGGGGGCTCAGTAGTAGTAGCGAAGCTAAGAAACGCACAGGGAGGTTGCCCACTTCGGTGGGCGGTGGGAGGTGGCCCTCTTCGGGGGGCGGTGTACCTTGCGGGTTGCTCCTGGTACTTCTCTGATAGCAGAGTGGACCTTGGAGCAACCCCATGGTTGTGGTGATCTGCTTTGGCAGACCTGCCATCGGGGCGTCGTAGTTGAATGTGTAAGCGATCCTGCGACGCCCCATTAAGACGGGGGAAGGTTTTGTTGGGTTTTAGTGGGTAGTACTGGTTGTATTACGCCGGTGAGTACCACACGTCGTGCGTAAATGCATTTCCCAACGTTAAAAAAAAAAAAAAAGGTAATTTGTAAGAAGAAAGATTTTTAATAACATATTCGATTAAGCAAGTTATATACAACAATTAGAAGCACTACAAATA